GCCCATGTGCTGGGGTGATGGGCACCTTGATCATTCGGTCCATCAGCCCTCACAAAGAGAGCACCGAGCACAACACATCATTCATGTTGTTCTAGCCACTCCTTCAGCCACCTACTGGCCAGGCTGTCAGACACTCGATCAGCATAGCGCACCGCAACCCAGAACCCCTTAACCCAAGCGATCCACCAGCCTCAGCCTCCCAAGTAGCTGGGATTACAGGCATGCTCCACTGCATCCAGTTGTGATGGGAACAAAAAAAAAAAAAAGTACATTGTAGTGGAATCCTTGTAAAGAGATTTGGAATCAGGGGAAACATGGGGTTGAATGTTAATTTATAATACTCCTACCTCCATGACAGTCATAGGACGTGTGCCTTTAAACTGCATACTCCTTTCTTTTAGGTCATATCGTCTATAAATTCTATGGGCCAGGTTGTCAGCAGGTGAATGGGGGAGCTTCATGAGTACAACTTGGGCAATTTACACCAGTGGAGCCACACTGCTTTACACCAGCTGAAGATCTGGCCCTTGAAATAGGCCAAAATTAAAAATATTCCTGCTTCCCTGGCTCTTTCTGTACTCACAATATTCTTTTCTATTACCTGCAGATTTACTTGCCTCAAAGCTCTTTACTGATCTCTTTTACTCCTCCTCTTCTCTTCTAATATTAATCTCAAGATAGCAGGAATATAAAACACATTAGTTCAGGAAAGTCCCTGAACTGGGAGGGAATTAGCATGCTGTACCGGTCTGTTAATCGCTGATCTATCCTCCTTCTTCTTCCCCTCCCACTTTCAAATGGTGTGGAACATACATTTCTAGCCCTGGTGGGACACAAGATTTCACGCGTTTAGACTATCAGCCTTTCCTCTTGACCCAGGCACTGTGGATCAAGTATGGCAAGTGCCAGACATCAGCCCAGGGTAACTTCCAGTCCCCAGCGGCCCCTTTTCTCACCTCAGCTGTTTTTAATGTTTTGTTTTCTCCACCACAGAAAAATGTTCTTTCAGGGAACTTACCTTTTAACGGCCTGTGGAGCACAGAAGCAATGGAAAGTGATGCTGCAAGCTCCAACAGGGTTGCTAAGACTGGCAGGTGTCCAGCTGTTGCCGGACAAGTTCCATTTGGCTAAGCAGAGGAGCAGTAACAGGACTTGTCTCCGCCATGCTGGAATGGGAGGAGAATAGCAAAGGCACCGAGTAGAAGCAATGAAGCATGCTAGTGGTTTCCATTGATTTCTGCTGGATTTGTTAGTTGTTTTCACTGTAACCCACAAAGAAATTACATAGATTCCTGGGATCCTGTCCGCTGGCAGCTCAGGGAGAGGCACACAGTCCCTGGTAGGGAAGGGGAGCCAAGGCAGACTCAGAGTCTGCCCAGCAACCAATAGGGAGTGAGAGGCCCTTCCAGGGAGTTGAGAAAAGGGGAGAAGCCACTTTGGAGTCAGTCTGGAGCCAGCCAGGAAAAGGGCAGGACTGGCTGTGTGGGGAGCTGGTGAGTCCAAGGCCTGCATGCAGGGTTCCCCCTGAGAACAGGCCTCTAGGGACCTGACAGCAGATCACTCAGCTGGGTTTTTCCTTCCCCACTGATAATTCCCAATTTGTAGAGTTTGCTGGGAAACTTCCCCAGCCAGGCTGAATTCACCCTCCAGCTCCCTAGGTGAGACCAGTCACCTATGGTCAGCTCTGCTCCATCTGCTAGTCCAGGGAAGCTGCCTGCTGAGTGTGTGTCTGGAGGCTGGGCTAGGAGGCTACAGTTTGGATGTTAGTGTAGTTGTGTAACCTACACCTTGAGCCCTGCATCCCTTTGTGGTGAGGGGAAATCCTGGGACCTGCCTAAGGAGAATCCCTGCCAGCAGAGAGCAGCCCCTCTGCAGTGACTGAGGAGCCCAAAGTCATCTTCGAACCTGAGGATCATTCATGGAGTTTGTAAGTGCACCATCTTTTAGTTAGTTAGTCAGGGAATTTGTTTTGGGGACCCACTACTCCCTGAACTGTGTCCTCGAGCCAGGGAGTAAGTGTTGGAGGATTTTATAACCTGCTACATATTACACCTGTGAGGGGATTTACCACCTTCTCCCACTTGTGAGTCCTTTGGGCTGTACTGAACCCAGTTAGCCACACTGCTAAACCACTGCAAAGAAGAATTTTGTGGTTATAGGTCATCAAGGGCCTCAGCAAAGTACGCATACCAACAGGACACTAATTTTACATTTGCTACATCAAGTCACAGGTATTTTCAGTGTGGGCACCAGTGACCCTGAAAATAGTGTTTTTCCCTGTTATGTTGTATTTGTCTCCTGTTTAATATAATTATTGTGTTGAATATATTGTATGTGTTTGTGTTATTTCTTGGAAGTCTCCAGTAATCTGGCAAGTAAGTGGGGATTACCCTGTAGTTAGAATTTTCCGCCAAAGCTGCCCTGGTGACCCTGCCAGGAAGGAACAAGGGGGGTGGAGGCACCACCAAATAATTTCATAGGAAAAAAGAAAGAAGATACACCCTGCTGAGTGGGTGGCGGGATCCAAAAGAACCCAGACCTGTAAGTGGATTGGCATTAAAGGAGGTAACCAGGTGGAGAGGGGGTGCTACATCACTGTTTAATATCAAGGGGTAGCCGTGTTAGTCTGTATCCACAAAAACAACAAGGAGTCCGGTGGTACCTTAAAGACTAACAGATTTATTTGGGCATAAGCTTTCATGGGTGTTTTCGTGAAGTGTTTTTTTACCCACGAAAGCTTATGCCCAAATAAATCTGTTAGTCTTTAAGGTGCCACCGGACTCCTTGTCGTTTACACTGTTTAACATCCTTCCGGGGTTTCCCCTCCAACTTAAATGGAACAGGAAAGGGGTCTGAGGACTGTATATGCAGGTCCCATAAAAGTCCCAAAGAGGGTTGGTGTATTGTAATACTCTACACTAATCATTACAATATCATCGTCCAAAGGAAGAGATCTCAGGTGCAGGTGGAGATTGTGCCAAGAGTTTTGTTCCACCAGTCAGAGTCGGGGGTAAGGCAGCTGAGAGTGGCTGATGCTTCTTCATAAACCTCTTTGGAATGGCTGATTATTCCTGTATGTGCTGGGGTTTGCTCATTATTTCCTTGTTATCTGACTTTCTACTTCCTAGTCTTCAGCGTTTCTGTTTGAGCACGCTGTAAACAAAGCCTCACTTGGCATTTCTTCATGTATTGCTGCCAGGACTCTTCTAGCCAGACAGCTACAAGAACTAGAGGTTTAACACCTCTGCTGGCTCGCAAACATGCCCATGAGGTGCCACATGTACAAATCAGCCACCTTTCGCTCAGCAGCACAATCTTGCCTAATCCCAACTGCTGTCAATCCGAGCTAGATCACAATCCTCTGCAGGGGATAGTGTGCGAAGCCTGGGAGAAACTGCAGTTTACCAGCGTCACAGTTGTTCCCCTCTTGTTCCAGAGAAAGAGTTTTTTACTGCGGGCACCAGATGTGTGCAGCTCACTTCCTGCTGTACACCCACCTAAATCCACTTCTAGCCATCGTTCTGTTCCTTCCTCATCCACCTCAGGGACGAGTGGCAGCTTCACGTATGTCCCAAATCGACGATCTGGGCAGCCTTCATGTTTGTGCAGAGGGAGTGAAGTAGGTTACTCCCTGCCTGGCCATGTCCAGCCTAGTTGCTATACCAACGCCAACCTCTATCTAGTCCTTTATCAACAGCATCCTTGTTACAGCCAACTGATTTGCCTCCCTTTCTCCTATTGATTTCTTTCTGCTCATTTTCCAGTCTGCTCTCTTTTTTCCATTATAGAACCAGAAATATTTGATGAACTGTCACTCATCCTCTGCAAAAATGCAAGCAAGATTTAAGTCATAGCTTCTAAATATGCATCTGCAATAGTATGTGCATAGAAATGTGTTTACATGCACATGAAAATCTAGCACAGGGCATGTACCTTGTTGCCCTTCACCCATGGGTCTGGCAGAAATGCAGCATCTCAGATACCACAGAATAAAGAAGAAAAATAGGGGTGATAAAATCAGATCTACAGAGATGCCAGGGACCAAATTCATCCCTGGTCTCATTCCACTGACGGAGTGTTTAGTCCTGGGTTATACGGAATGGCCCAAATTTAGAACTGGTTAACGTCATTAAAACAGGTGCAGTTCCCATGTCCCGGAGTCATTACTTGCTTCTGCATTAGTGTACATTGTCCATAGGGCCTAAGAGGGTTGAACAATAAAAATGTGATGTAACTCGCTCCAATGTGGCATTCAGAAAGAGTGCAACGTGAGTATAACTGACATGCTAAGCGGATGGAAGAGGGCTGCATAACGGGAAAAGCATTTAACAACATTGTAGTACAAAATAGCCCCTCCACACTTCATGGCATATGCTCCTATTAGTTGCTTTTCCTGATGCAGTTTTGGACCCTGGGCGAGCAAGTCACACTCATTTCTCATACTCACTCAATACCAAACTGGTTCAATATTACAACTTACACCCCTTTATGACGGACTCTTTTCCAATTCACGTCACTGTTTAAGTCGCAGAATCATTTGGTCTAGTGGGCCTAACTCCCCTTTATATTATGGCCCACTTGCACCACTCTGCCAGTGTTAAAGGTCTGTAAAGTGGGCACCCACTTTACAGACCTTTAACACTGCCAGAGTGGTGTAAAATGGCCTTAGTGTAACTGAGAATCAGGCCCTAAATATCTATAACTCTATAGATGTGAAAAGAAAAGGAGTACTTGTGGCACCTTAGAGACTAACCAATTTATTTGAGCATAAGCTTTCGTGAGCTACAGCTCGCTTCATCTGTATGCATCCGATGAAGTGAGCTGTAGCTCACGAAAGCTTATGTACTCCTTTTCTTTTTGCGAATACAGACTAACACGGCTGTTACTCTGAAATCTATAGATGTGACTGTAAAGAATGGGACACCTTCTCTCATAGGTAGTGGAGGCAACTTTAATGTCAGATTTCTTTACATTAAAAATCTACGCTTCCAAACTAGACATCAGCTGTTTCAGACACAATTTAATTTTTGATTATTCCACAGATGCTAACTTGGAAGAAGCATGACATATGTAATTGATAATGATGTTACACAGAACAATAAAACACCACCCCAGGCATAAAATAAACATAATTACAGAACAGTTGCCAGTAGAGCAACAGCTTAATTTGTCTCTAGTCAGCAAACTTAGAACACTTAAGTAGGTAGACTGCGGTGAGAGGTGGAGCTGCAATACTCACAAAATGGCTGGAGCAAAGTGGTGTCACTTCCACCATCTCCCTGTCCGGTATTTGGCAGATGTAGCACTTCCAGGGCTGGAACATCTGCTCCTTCATTCCCTTTCTTCCCCACATCCTGCAGCGTTTAGAAGCTCATCCCGTGAGGCAACTGAGTTCAATGCACTAGTGAAAGTAAAAAAAACAAACAAACAGGTACTTCAAGGTTTCAAAAAGCAGAGACCCGTCCTGATCCCAGCCCTTAAGCATGGCCCCAGGGTCAGCTCTGTCCAGGGGCTCAATATTCACAGGGTGCAGCCTTTTACTCCCCTCCTGTCCTGGACCTTCAGCATGGCCTCCTCTGCTTCCTCTATGCAGTTGAGAAGTGCAGGGGGATGGGTTCACAGCCAAGATAGCCTTGCAGTGGTATGCCATTCTCAACTACTATGTGGTGACAGGTTTCAGAGGAACAGCCGTGTTAGTCTGTATTCGCAAAAAGAAAAGGAGTACTTGTGGCACCTTAGAGACTAACCAATTTATTTGAGCATGAGCTTTCGTGAGCCACAGCTCACTTCATCAGATGTGTACCGTGGAAACTGCAGCAAACTTTATATACACACAGAAAATATGAAACAATACCTCCTCCCACCCCACTGTCCTGCTGGTAATAGCTTATCTAAAGTGATCAGCAGGTGGGCCATTTCCAGCACAAATCCAGGTTTTCTCAGCCTCCACCCCCCCACACAAATTCACTCTCCTGCTGGTGCTAGCCCATCCAAAGTGACAACTCTTTACATAATCAAATCGGGCTATTTCCTGCATAGATCCAGGTTCTCTCACTTCCCCCACCCCCCATACACACAAACTCACTCTCCTGCTGGTCTAAACTGACCACTCTCCAAGTTTAAATGGGTTGGGGGGGGCCCAAGTTTAAACCCAAGCTGGATTTAAACTTGGAGAGTGGTCAGTTTAGACCAGCAGGAGAGTGAGTTTGTGTGTGTATGGGGGTGGGGGGAAGTGAGAGAACCTGGATCTATGCAGGAAATAGCCCGATTTGATTATGTAAAGAGTTGTCACTTTGGATGGGCTAGCACCAGCAGGAGAGTGAATTTGTGTGGGGGGGTGGAGGCTGAGAAAACCTGGATTTGTGCTGGAAATGGCCCACCTGCTGATCACTTTAGATAAGCTATTACCAGCAGGACAGTGGGGTGGGAGGAGGTATTGTTTCATATTTTCTGTGTGTATATAAAGTTTGCTGCAGTTTCCACGGTACACATCTGATGAAGTGAGCTGTGGCTCACGAAAGCTCATGCTCAAATAAATTGGTTAGTCTCTAAGGTGCCACAAGTACTCCTTTTCTTTTTACTATGTGGTGAGTATCCTCCCCCTGCCGCCGCCCCCTCCCCCCGGAGTACCAGGCACCCCTCCACCCCACTGCCCTTCATTTTCAGGTTTTACTGATTGTCACCCTTTTTTAACATTTTTGAATAAACGCCTATAAATTCCAGGGAAATTAAACAAACCAACAAACAAACACACACATCCTCCTCAGAAAAACAAAGGGCCTTAGCTACGTAATAATGTTGAAGTCTTTCTCCTTAACTTCTTATTGCCATGCTTTTAAAGCTTGGGGTGGATGGAGTATGTCCTGATGCCCCCTTAACTGGCACTAAATGTAGCTTGGGTTTGTTATTAGTCTATTTTTCATCTCGTGGGCTAATTCAGATCTGTTATTAAACCCTCAAATAATTCACTAGCCCTATTTTAACCCACCTCTTAACTAATCTGTCATTATTCATTTATTTGTATGTCTCTAGCTATGATCACCACCACTGTTGCCTTTTTGATTTGTATTGCTAATTAAGAACATAATTCAAAGCCCGTTAAAACCTCTTCATCACTTGTACTTCTTGCAAATTACCCACTATTATTTAATCTTCCTCATACATCATTAAAAAGACAATGTGCAACACAGAGGCACACGACTGTTGGTTCGTAACACATGCATTACAATAATTAAGCACAGGGTTCGCACTAAGGTTGTAGGTAGAACCTTAATTCCAAATGTCATCGCTTTAGACTATTTTTTAAAAATTGCAATATTGAATGCTATCGTTTCAAATTAATTTATATGTATTTTCAACCTTAACGAGTTTGGGCTTGGTCTGGGAATATACAATTAAGGATGAGGGAAATTAACAGTGGCTCAGACACAGGCAAATCTACAGGAGCTAAGAGCATTGTCACTTCAGAACGGAAATTGCCCTCCCACAATGCCAGCGCACTTGCCATAAAACAAAGCACAGCCTGTCTAACCTGTCTGTCCGTCCGTCCCAGGCTGGCGGCGGCGTCTGTTGGCCCTGCAGCCGGGCCTGCCTGTCTGGCCCTGAGGAGCCGCCCCCAAGGCCGCTGCCCGACGCCCGCCCTCGAGTCCCAGAGCTCGGCCTCCGCCAGGGGCCGCCCGAGGGCTCGCGGCGTCCGGTTCCCCTGGCAACCGAGGGGCCGGCTGCGGGCGCGGCGGCGCGATGGAGGCGCCCTGCCGGGGGGTCCCGGCCCCGGCCCAGGCCCTGGCCCAGGCCGCGCTCGCGGCCCTAAGCCACCTGCACGGCGTGGGTGAGCGGGGCGGGGCGGGGCTGGAGCCAGGGGGTCGCTTGAGGAGGCCCCAATAAGGCGCTGCGGGGGCGAGCACCGGGCTGGGCGTGGATCCTGGGTGGGGTCCCGGGCTGGGCACGGCCCCTGGGCGAGGACGTTGGGCTGGGCACGGCTCTGTGGGGGAGGGGCACCAGCTGGGCACGGCTCCTGGGGCGGGACACCGGGCTGGGCACGGCTCTGTGGGGGAGGGGACACCGGGCTGGGCACGGCTCCTGGGGCGGGACACCGGGCTGGGCACGGCTCTGTGGGGGGAGGGGCACCGGGCTGGGCACGGCTCCTGGGGCGGGACACCGGGCTGGGCACGGCTCTGTGGGGGAGGGGCACCAGCTGGGCACGGCTCCTGGGGCGGGACACCGGGCTGGGCACGGCTCTGTGGGGGAGGGGCACCGGCTGGGCACGGCTCCTGGGGCGGGACACCGGGCTGGGCACGGCTCTGTGGGGGAGGGGACACCGGCTGGGCACGGCTCCTGGGGCGGGACACCGGGATAGGCATGGCTCTGTGGGGGAGGGGACACCGGGCTGGGCACGGCTCCTGGGGCGGGACGGGACTCTGGGCTGGGCACGGCTCTGTGGGGGAGGGGACACCGGGCTGGGCACGGCTCCTGGGGCGGGACACCGGGCTGGGCACGGCTCTGTGGGGGAGGGGCACCAGCTGGGCACGGCTCCTGTAGGGGCGGGGCGGGAGGGGACACCAGGCTGGGCATGGCTCTGTGGGGGAGGGGACACTGGGCTGGGCGGCTCCTGGGGCAGGACGGGACACCGGGCTGGGCATGGCTCTGTGGGGGAGGGGCACGGGCTGGTCATGGCCCCAGAGCAAAGGGTTATTACATAATACTCAGTTGTCATTTGCCCTATCTCTGGTCCTGAAGGTCAACGGGATTAGTGACGCTGGGGTGTAAATTGCCCCCCTCTCCAGCCCCACTGTGGGATCCAGACCAAGAGCAGCCCTGCTGCTGGGAAAGGGGTAGGGGAGTGGGATGGGGGTGAGTTGTCTTCCTGTCCAGCCCCACTGCCAGCTAGTTGGGGGTTCCAGAGGCAGAACAGGGGAACAGCTCTTCGAGCATATGTCTCTTGCCTCCTGTGGATCCAGAGGGGGTAATTTGCTGCGATAGGGGGGTGAAACAATGGCTCATCCCACTGGGGTTCCCTTCCTCACCCAGATGGATTTTGGGGCAACTCCATGAGGATTCAACCCCCAATTGCCCTATTCCCATCCTACAAGTATTTCCACAGGAGGGTATTCTCTGGGCCAATGTTATTTACAGGACAACCTTTGTAGAGTTTTATTCATGTGTAAGTAGGAAAAGCTACCTTGGGAGGCATATACTTGGGATGCTTTATATGTATTTTACACTATGTATTTGTTCAGATATACCCACACTATGGCAGGCATATTGAGACCCCTATCTGCAATGAGGTTCCTGTGGGCAGACCCCTGTATCCATGCAGAGCTCATTATGGTAGCAGGGCCTGATTTTGAAAATCGGTATTATTCAAAGTATCAGTTACACATTATTTCAGATATGTCTATAAAATATGACTAAAATATTATTTGTCTGTCATTGCTATGGGCTGTCTTGTTCCTACTTGACCCAGGAGGTGTCTGTCTATTAATGTGACTGCCATAGGCATGTAAATCAGAAAGCTGCTAATCTTTCAGAAACTAGCATTTTGTGGGGGTGGGTAATATGTGTAGACAATACATTTATTTGGTTTGATTGTCACATACACAACCATCTGGTTTCTCTGTGGGACTCAGACTTTTTGGCAAGCATATATGTCATGATCTGTTTAGGTCCCTAGATCCTCATGTTGTTCTATTGCTTCTTATTTTTGCAAACCATTCTTTTAAAATCTTCTTGAACAGGTAATGTTTCCACATGTGTAAAATCCCCTGTACCTACACATAGCACTAGCACGTTGGGAAAACCATACATGGCAAAAAATCCTTCTTTGACCTCCATTTCTGCTGATACATTGGAGAAGTGAACACATTTTACACACTGGGCAAATATTGCATTCAGGTGCTGAGACAGGTGGTGTGAGACAGACGCCTGTGGTCTCCTATGAGCTTCTGCAATGAGCACATGGCACGGCATCTGAAGGAAGAAGGTACTTTGACAAACACTCAAAATACAGAATCTTTCCTTTTGGGCCTTAAGAGTTTGGAAAGTCCTTGAACTGACTTGAATGTCAATTTTGTTCAGGCGATATCTGACAAGAAGCTGGTTGTGGTGCTCCCGAAAGGCCTGGAAAATAAATCTGCCATCTGAAAACACATTTATCACTATATCTGTCACAAGAAATAAAACGCACTCTTGGGACAACAGAAAGGGCTAGAAGATAGATACAACATTGGGAAACTTCAGCAATCAGGAGTTTGCTGCTAAAGCCTTAGTGAAAGGAGGTTTTGCAATAACTAAGAATGGAAGAAATTGATTCAGGAGGAAAGATTAACCACTATCTAGGGAGAGGCATTGTATTAGAATAGTGTAAGCAATGAGGTATAGCCAAGAGTAATGGAATTAACTAGAACAAAGAAAAAAATAGATTAGATATTGGGGGCGGAAATTCCAAACTCAAGTTTTATTAGACTGTGGAATACCTTACAAGGGAAATTGTGGAAACCTTTTGTTGGATTCATTTTAAAAATAAATTGTACAGGAGGGCTAGACAGCTCTAGTGATTGGTAATGGGCTATGGAACATTTTTCCTTTAGGTTGCCAGTCAAATCTGACTCTGGTTGATAGAGATGGAAAGTTGTTATTGTCTGATACCTGTTTAGTGTCCAATGAAAAACATGAATTGTTAGTCTTGGACTAGTTCCTTGTGGTGAGATGTCTGTGTCATAACATATTTACCACTGATAGCCTCAGCTGAGAGCTCAAGGACTGAATGGGGATGGAGGCTGCATATCCTTGTTGTTATCCCTGAGTAGGTTTCTTTAGTTTAGGTTTGAGGCAAGTTGGCAGGGCTTTCTGACAACCAGGTTGAGCCCATTGTGCTAGGCACCATACAAATATATAATAAATGTCAGTCCCTGCCCCAAGAGCTTACAGTCTAAAAGACAAGATGTAACAGAGGGATGAGACAATCAGGTGGGTCAGAGTGGCATGAGATGGCGTAACATATAAATATAATAGGATGTGAAAATGCCTAGCCAGTAGTAGTGATCACAGCTCTCTACTTGCCTGGCCATTATCATTTTGCAATTTACCGTATGCGTTACAGAGGAGGTGAGTTTTGAGGAGGGACTTGAAGCAAGACAAGATGATAGCTTTATGGATTTTGATTGGGAGCTTTTCTCATGTGTAAAGGGCAGCCTGGCAGAAAGAGCGTGTCAGAAAAGGGGAGAATTGGGAGATCAAGGCTGGTGTTGTTGAGAGAGTGAAGGGAGTCAACATTATGATAACAGAACAGTTACATAGAGAGGGGCTAAACTATCGAAGGTGGGGACTTTGTAAGTAAGGATAAAAAGGTTGTGTTTGATATACTGGAAACAGGGAGCCAATGGAGAGCCTTAAAAGGGATATGTGGCATAGTCAGTGCAGTGAGTCATGAAGATGATCTTAGCAGCAGCATTTTGAACGGATTTGAGGAGAATGAGGTCAGAGTGTTGATCACAGTCGTTAAGGCACAGGATGGTTAGGTCTTGGACAAGAATTTTGGCAATGTGGGCAGATGGATCACTTGATTACCTGTTCTGTTCATTCCCTCTAAAGCACCTGGCATTGGCCACTGTCGGAAGACAGGATATTGGGCTAGATAGACCTTTGGTCTGACCCAGTATGACTGCTCTTATGAGAGGAAAAGTCGACTTTTGGAGATGTTGTGGAGGAAAGAAGTGGCAAGTTTTAGACACGGCCTGGGTGTGAGGGTCAGAGGACAGGGCCACGTCAAAGAGGAAGCCAAGATTATGTTCTTGAGTAACAGGAAGGATGATTGTGATCGAGAAAATAGAGGTCTTTGGTGGGGAGGGAGAATAGGTCATGTTAAGTTTCATTTGACAGCTGGATATCAGTAAGGAAATGTCAGAAAGACAGTATGAGATTTTGGGTTTAGATAGACTCAGGTTCCAGAGGGGAGAGAAATTTCTGTGAATTATTAACATAAAGATGGTAATTGAGCTGCGATTATGGATGAGATTCACTCAGAGATAAGGTGTAGGAGGAGCAAAGAAAGGGGCTGAGGATGGAGACCTGCATATATTGCCTTGTCATCAGCAGAATCTTCCTGTGAATAAAGAGTACTTTTCCGCATTTTGCAGGTTCCCTTTCTTAAGCCTGTGTTTGGTTGGGATTTACTTCCTTTAAAAAAAACTACATACCACCTTGTAAATGGGCACTATCCCGTTTAACAAATGGTCCTGAATGTAAGTATGCCAGAAAACTGGCAGATGCATTGAGTCAGATAATAAATGGCTGAATTTTTTTTATTTTATTTTTTTGCCCAAGGATGTGGAAGCAGCAGTTCATAAAGAGCTTTCCCGTATAAAGTTAGAGATCTATCATTCAGGACTTGGCATTCATAGTCAGCTGCCTATAGGCCTGCCCAGTGGGCCTCCTAGCTCAGCCTTTTTGTCTGCAAAATTGGGTGGGCAAGAGGAGAGGCCATCACCATGGAAAGCAGAGAGAGAGGGTGGGGAAACAAGGAAAGGCATACTGAGGGAAGGGAAGGACGGCAATACAGAATAGGAAGGATACATTATAATGGTTTGTAAAGGGGACAGCGTTAGCTTTTGAAGTAAAAATGAGGGAGAGAGAGAAGACCAAATAAATAAAAGAAATCAAGAGGGAATCTGGGAGAGAGGACAGAATTAAAGCAATGGAAAAAGATAAAGAAAAATCAAGAAAAGACTTGACAACCTGCAGTGTAATTAGTGACATTGATTTTTATTTTTGCACAGTATGCCCTACATTTATCATGTTTCTGGGGAAAGTAGCTCACAGATCTGTTGATCTGCAAGTGGTAAAGAGATTGCAAAGACAGAATGTTGTTGTTGAAATAACTTGTCTCTAATTGCTGCTTACTGCTGGGCCTATAGCGCAGGGCCAAATTTTGCTGTGATTTACCTCCATGCAAGCCAACTATATCCGATGGACCTCCCTTCTGATCTCACTTACGTTGGTTGAATCATGAGTAACTTAATTCAAGTCAAAGGAGTTACACCAGCATAAAAGTGGTAGATTGTTAAAATCGGACCTAGAGACAACAGTGGGGTACATAGGGTGTAAGTTAGAACTTGGCATGAAGGCCACTAACTTGACGTAAAATTCTAATGAAGACAAGGTAGTTTGTAGTTTTCACCCAAGTTAGCAGGTCAAATAAAGAATATGGGCGAGCCTAGGGTTTTACTTTAAGTTAAATATTAAGAGTTAAGAATACACCTTTTTTCCCAGTGAAGACAGCCTCCATTTTGTGGTCACAAGTTCATGACAGCCCCAGCTCAGAACTAGTACCCCTGTTTTATGGCACCTCAATAGACCAAAGTCCTTCCAGTTTTTCCTTAAGGATTGGGGCCCTCTGTGGACCAGAGGTCCTGACCATTTGCTGGATCAGAAAGAAGGCTATGGATCAGGTTACTACCAAGCTATTTAACCAAAAATCTTTCTTTGCCAGTTGGTCACTGGAGAATCCAGTTTGAACTAGATTATGTGAACCTCTCCGGGGGGTAGCTTCAAAAGGCATCCCGAGTACCTCTTAGGACAGGGGTTCTCAACATTTTTTTTCTGAGGCCCCCCTACTATGCTATAAAAACCTGCATGGCCCTCCTGTGCCATGACAACTGTTTTTCTGCATTGAAAAGGTCATTGTTAAGAGGTAGCAAGCAGGGCAATTGTCCAGGACCCCACGCCATAGGGGCACCATGAAGCTAAGTTGCTCAGGCTTCAGCTTCAGCCCTGGGTGATGGAGCTTTCTGCCATGGGCCCTAGTGAGTCTAAAGTTGGCCATGCTTGGCAAACACCCTGAAACCTGCCCATGGCCCGCCAGGGGCCCCCAGACTCCTGGTTGAGAACCATTGTCCTAGGAAACCAGATTCATATGTATTGTCCCAAACAGTTCTTTGAAGATCTTAATTCTTCCCAAATATTGCATTAATTGTGTCGTCTTCCTAAAAAAGTTCTGTACAGTCCCACAATAATACATAAACCTTTGCATTTTAATACAATGAACTCCTAAACTACTTAAGCCTAATATAGTAGGGTTTAACTTAGTTCAGTAAGGTTTATCCAGTATTTTGTCATGTCTGTCATGATATGTTCCCCTAGAACTTTATACTTAATTTCTTATGTCTTTAATTTGAGGACTGTAAAAGGTGCTGCCCTAGTTTAGAACCATGAAAGTAATCAATTTAGCAAATAGTTTTGGAATAAAGCCTTCTCTTTTAGAATAACACTTATAAAAGAATGTAGCAGTATGAATATATAATTTAAGGTTAAGGGAAAAAATTTGAAGCTTTTAATTTTACAATGTTTTTAATTTAGAAATACAACTGAAAAATGAAGCGTATGCATTCAGTGAGGAAGCTGTGCAGCACCTTGAAGATGCTGTTGAAGCTATTAAGAAACTGGTAACATAAAACGTGAAAGTATAAAGTATTTAGAGTCACTTGTACGTGAGAAAGATTTACAGTGTGAAATTAATATTTTACTGTTGTATCGTAAGCAACTTTCTGCTCTGAAGGTCATATTTTCCCGTCAGAGAAGGGAAGACAACTCCAGCTGAAGAAGTCAGTGGAAGCTGTGCATGCACTTTGCAATGTGCACAATTTGGCCCTAATAATATAACCCAACTAATCCAACCCTACCAAGATAAATCACACAGCCAGGGAAAATGTGGGATTTTGTTACTTTGGAGCAGGGGCAGATGTAAGCTCCCAATTCAATGGGTGTACTAGACCACATCCAGCCCTGCTCCTGCTCCCCCTGCTCCACGTCCAGCCCTGCTCCCCTTCTCATCTCGCCCCAGGATGTAAGGAAGTTGCCATTGCAGCCCGGAGTGGGCAGGAGCGTACTAATGAGGTACCCCTGCCCCAGAGGCAATGGCACAGGCTCTCCCGCTTTCCCCACACCATAGCTCCCTGCCAGGCTGGACAAGGAGAACAGTCTGACTTGCCCCTTCTGCCCCCACACCTAAATCCTTAGTGCTCTCTGCTTATTCAAGGCTTCCTGTTGGTCCATGGCACTGAGAGGAGCTGTAGTGGGTTCTGACAGGAGGGACAGGAAGGCAGAGTTGGACCTGGATGCTGGCCATGCTCCCCCCAAGCAGGAGTGCTCCCTGTCCACCCTCTATACCTTCCTGCTGGCTCGAGGCTTCCCGCCGCTGCTTGGCACTGAGAGGAGCTGCTGCAGGTTCTGGCAGGAGAAGGGATCTGGGTGCCAGTTGGGAGACATGAGATGCAGTCATGGAAGTGCACATGTGGGCTCGATGTCTATGGGTGCAGTTGCAGCCATGGACCCTGACTAGAGCTGCCAGTGCTTTGGACAACTTCCCTAGGACTAGGACCAGTCCACACTTTGCGTAAGTGTATGCACTTGCACTGAAGTCAAGAGAGGAAGGATGCTCTTGTGGTCAATGCAATGGACTGGGACTCCAGATCTGGGTTCCCAGCGCTCTCACAGATTTCCTGTTTTGGTTTAGAGCAAATGATTTAGGCCCCAGTCTTGCAACGAGCTTGTGTAGGTGGAACCTCACTGAAATTAATGGGGCTCCACATGAGTGCCAAGTCTGCTTGTGAAGGGCTCTTTGGAGGATAAGAGCCTTATTCTTTCACTTAATCCCATCTGTATGAATGAGAAGAATACTTCTGTGTCTCAAAGGGTTATTGTGAGGATACATCCATTATTGATTGTGAGGTGCCCAGATGCTACAGTGATCAGCACTACAGAGAAGCCTGTATTAAAAAATAAAGCAAATAAGTAATTTTGACCTGGGTGTTTTTCCCTCTGACCCCAATGCACTCTTTCCTGGAGCAATTCTTAGTGTCCTTCACTACAGAGAGATGAGAACTCCCATGTGCATGGTTAGGGTGTCATCAGTGATATTTCTTAACTGGGAATGGCTGTTCATAGATGATTGGCATCTGTCATAAGGACATGGTAGACATTTAAAGCCAAAGTGGTTTCAAATAAAATGTGTTTTAAAAAATCTCTTTAATTGATCTGCTGGTAAATGTAAATCTCTTATAAAACTCTCCTTTCCCACTTCAATACTACTCTAACTCACCTATTTCAACCCTTCTCTTCAGTAATTAATCATTAAGGCTGCAATTCTGTCATGGAGGTTGCAGAAGTCATGGATTCCGTGACTTGCCATGACCTCCATGACTTTTGCGGCTGCTGTGGCTGACCTCAGGGCCAGCTGTTCGGGCGCCCTGCAGCCAGCCGCACTGGCTGCTGCTGGAGCAGCCCTGAGGCCAGCCCCACTGGCCGCTGCTTGGAAGGCCTCAGGCAACAGGCCCCAGGGAGTACCTGAGCAGCAGTCCTGGGGGCAGCCCTGGGGAACGCCCAGACACCAGGACCTTGGAGTAGCCAGTGGCTGAGGGCAGTCAGCCCCTTCGGCCAGTGTAGGAGCTAGCCATTGGTCCCTGGGACCCCCCCAGAGCAACAGTGTTCTGGGGCTCCCCAGGGCAGCAGCACCCCATGGCCCCAGGAGCTGCTAAGTTTTAGTCAGGGGTATTTATATTGTAAAAGTCATGGACAGGTCACGGGCCATGAATTTTTGTTTATTGCCCGTGATCTGTCCATGACTTTTACTAAAAATACCCGTGACTAAATCTTAGCCTTATTCATCTTATTAATCAGCTTACTCATGAGTTATTTTTATGTCACTAGCTCAGTTCAGTAAAAGTGTTTTCTTTTTCACTTTTACTGCTAATTGAGGCTATAATTCCTCTCCAGTGAAACCTTCATATTTTCATTGTGTTTCTTGTATATTATTGCCAGCTCTTCAGTCTTTCTACACTTAAGGAGAGCAATGTGTACTGGGTGTAAGTGTAGGCATGTAGAATTGAGTATTTGAGGAATGGGCTTGGGCTACCTCTTTTCTTTCCATCTTGCTTAGGCTGGTGAAGATAGCCGTTAGCAAAACTGAAGGGAAGGCACAAAAAGGCAGGTCAGGCATTAGGCAACCACCTAATTGTCTTGTAGGCAATCGCCTAGGTCACCGCTTATTTATGGATCAGCCACTCTTCCTCACCCACCTCCAGCTGGAAGCTGTATCAGCACAGCATTGATCCAACCCTCCCTCCCCTCCCATACAGTTTCAGGGGGTCTGCCCCTTTAAGAGCTCCTCTCAGCACTGACTCCAGCCTAGCTTTGATGGGTGCCTATTTAAGGGTGCCTCCAACACACACACCCTAGGGGTTCATAGCCAGGAGCTGACCTGCCAGTGTGCTAGCCCAGGATTTGAGGGGTTTTTTCTGACATTTAAATAATGTCCCTCCCCCCAAAAAACCCCAGAAGCTGAGAGCCAGGATCTGCCCCAACAATGTTGTTCTTGCGCAGCTGCTCCCCCAACACAGCTTTTAGAGTGGGGAGAGGGTCTGTCCCTTTAAGAACTGTCCCACATGAGAAGCCTGGAGCTGCCACACCAACATGGCTCTGGCCAGCCCTCCATGGGACAAGGTTTTTTGGAGGGTGGGAGTGCCTAGGCTAGGGTAGCCATGTATAAAGGGGGAGAATTAAGAGTTTAGTAGCCCCAAAGCACTTTTTCACATATTGTTCTGTTAAGTGATTGAGGTTGAATCTAACCTTTACGTGATCATCTATTTGTTAATTGTCAGGAAAAATTAAGAAGACATACCCTTGAACTTCTAGAAGAGGAGACTATAAAAAATAGTAATCTCCGTTTAAAACTCCAGAATCTTCCAGAAATGGTTACCAAGGAGTTGGAAGGTAGTGTCAAGTTAACCAACTCTGAGAATATAAGTGGGGAGACAAAATAGAAATAAATATAAATAAAGTAAGAGAATCGCAGCTGGGGACCTATAGTTGACAGTTCCTACAGTAATGCATTAAAGATTACAGAAAATAAGCCATATTCAGATTGTTGTTATACAGGTTTGTTTGGTTTTTTGCAACAACTGCACATGTTATATTTCTAGCTCTTGTTGCTGCGGCCCGTGAATCCAGTACTGCTAAGATAAATCAATTACAGACTGCACTGAAAAACATCACGTGTGAAATCGAATCACTGAATCGGGAACAAATCCTTTGTGAAACACAGAATGCTGCTATGTGGTATGTATGTATTAGCTTCAAGGTTCAGTAAATCATATTGATAGAGTATTAAGGAGAAATGAAATGGAATCAGAGCCTGGTGAACGAGTGCTTGTCCCTCGCTTTTGCAGCGAGCTGCAAATCTTCCTAGGCAGCTCTTTGCTGCAGTAGCAGCCCTGCTTTTGAAGATCTTGTTTATTGAGCTGCTGTCACTGCCTGAGCCTGATGCCATCTGCCCCTTGCTGTAATGATAGATTGGCTTATGGAAAAGTGTCTACAGATCTGGCTATGATGACAGCGGCAGAGGGAGAGCCTTCTGCCTGCAACAGTGAATGTCAGAGGACAGTCAGAAATAAGGATAGTTTTAAATTTGCAGCCCCAGATCACCACCTGTGGGAGAGAGCTCTGAGTTAGGTGTTTATGCTGAGATAGTCCCCTAATGCTTTGGGGGCAATGCCATGCATAGTTGTGTCAGCATAACTTCCTAGTATAGACGCAACATACAGTGACAGAAGGAGGAGTTCTGCCAGTATGGGAACACCACTTCTGCAAACAACATTAGTGATGCCAACAGACCCCCTTGTCTGTCAGCACAACTGTGTCTACACTGGGGATTTTGTCAGCATAGCTATCCTGGCTAGGAGGTGTGAAGTTTCCACTTCCCTGAGTGACATAACTATATTGGTATAAACTTTAATTGTAGACCAGGCCAAAATCTCTGCAAACACCCCCTCATGGAGATTCCTTTTCCACATTGTCCCATTGAGATGTAGGGGCATTTGCTTTGTCCATGCCAGATTTTATGTTCCTGTCACTTTCTGCCAAGGAGCTAGAGTTGTTCAAAAAGAGATCATAGCGTAGTTTTTTACTGCAGGAAAACTGATTTTTTTTCATTCCTTCTGTTTTGGAAACCAGTTCATCTATTTCTTATTAAACTTTCAGAAAATATTCACACCTGAAAAAGTAAAACTTTGAGAATGTTATAAGCAACTGAAAATTAACCTTTAAAATGGACAGGCTTAGATAGTCTTAATGATAGGCAATTCTATATGCACTTCTGTACCTATATTTTATATCTATATGGTGCTATAGTTGTCAGAGTCATGAATGTAAGCTTTACTGTATTGAAAGGTAGAAAATAAAGGTTCAGGTCTAGAGCTACACTGCAGTGTCTTTACTGACTTCCGCAGGCTTTGGACCAGGACTTTAATCCTTATGGCAGGTATGCAGTATAATCTGTCTCTGATTTATTTTTGCCAGTAAGGAGCAAGAGTGGCTGTGGGTCCAGCATGAAGAAGCTGTAGCCTTACTGAACCAGCAGATGGCACAAAAAGCTAACACAAATATACTTTTAAATGAGTTTTGCAACAAAAAAAGGGATGCAGAACAAGAAATAATCAACCTAACGAATGCTGTGCAAGAAGTGAAAGATGTTCTAGCTAAAGAAATAAAAATATTTAATGATGAAAAAGAAGTGTGGGCTAGAAAGGTAAATATCATGCACTGTACTCCAGACTCATAAACGTATACAGGTTAATATAGCTGCAAAACTGAAATGGTTTTAGGAATTATACTGAAATGTTGATGTTTGTTCAGTGCCCAGCACAATGGGGTCCTGGTCCATGAGTAGGGCTCCCTAGTACTATGATCATACAAATAATAAATCATAATAATATTTATGCTAAACATTTTACACAGTTTGCTCTCGTGGAGTCAAATTATGTCTTCATACCAGTACAACAGAAAAGTGACTTCTAACAAACTCTTTGTATTGGAGAGGGGGTGCAAAACACACACACGTGATAGAATTTAAGAGAATATAAGAGCTTTTATATATATATATACACACAATTTCTTATATTCTCTTAAATTGCCTATTGAATTTTGACTCATGTTTAATTACTTTAATATGAGGAGAGAGAAAGGAGAAAAATATCTTTATTTTATAGCTTTTATATTTTGTCTTTCTTGATTTCTGTTTTGAAAAATGCCATAAAATACCTCTTAAAGGATGTTATATTCTTTTAGTTTGACAAAAATATTTTTCTGTAGAACAAATTATAGGCCCAGTACTGCCAGAACCTAATCACGTGCCTAATTTTATGCACTGTGAGTAGTCCTATGTAAGTTAGTGGGACTGTTTATAGCATATAAAACTAAGCATGTGCGTAAGTCTTTGCTGGGTCAGAGCCTAAATTAATACTGTATTTTAATGAATTATTAATAGGATTTTCCTGTAGGGTTTGTACACACAAATTATAGACAGTGCCCCTGTAGAAAGTTCTTTTCTTCTAGTATAATTTTTATTGAAAGGCTCCAGAGACTGCCCTATTTACAAATATAGAGGCTTTCTTCTTTAGTTAAGCAATACATAGTAGCTTGTAAAGCTGGTTATATTTTTAAATGTAGAACGCAGAGATGAAAACAAAACTTGATCTTCAGAAGGCAAAAACTTCAGGAAAAAAGGATGAATTTGAAGAATTGTCCAAAAAGCTATCAGCTGTGCAGTCTGAGATAGCTCAAAATACAGCGGTAAGGAGAAAATAGCTTCTCGCAATAGAGTTCTTATTTCAATGCAAATTTTTACTGTAAAGGGCATCAACTTTGAATTTAGTAGCTAGACAAATTGGAGGGAGTTGAGAGAAGAGGGCTGGAGGGACCAGCTTCTATGAAGAAAGAATGAAAGAGCTAAGGACTTATCTACATGAGGAAATTAACCGGCATTATTAACCAGTAATTATTCCATAATAAAGTCACTTTTGTTCTGGAATAGAGTGTCCGCATGGGGGAATTATACCAGTATTGCTATAGCACAGTGGTTCCCAAACTTGTTCCGCTGGTTGAGCAGGAAAAGCCCCTGGCAGGCCAGGCTGGTTTGTTTACCTGCCGCATCCGCAGGTTTGGCCGATCGCTGCTCCAGGCCAAGGGTTCGCTGCTCCAGGCCAGTGCCAGCGCGGATTTCAGCAGCTCCCGTTGGCCTGGAGCAGCGAATTGCGACCACTGTAGTGCAGACATGGCCTTAGCTACCATTGCCTAGGAAGGTGATGTTTCTACAATGACGGAAAAATTCCTTCTGTTGCTGTAGGCTGCGAGCACACTGTGGAGTTGTGCTGGCACAGCTATGTTGCTACAGGACCCTGAAGGGCAGACATGGTGAAATAACACATGAGCATCACAGAGTGATTGGATTAGCAGCTGATGGGTCGGCTCATACTTCCTGATGGGTCAGCCAACTTGAGTTAAAAGCACTACTGCACTTGTTAAGGCTTTTGTGTGTGAACAGGTGTTGAGTTAGGGGCTAAACTCAAATTATAATTCAAGTTAACTCTGCAGCGAAGACAAGTTAGAGGATAGTGTTCGTAGCTCAAAGATCTTTAAATCTCTTTTGGTTACCACTGTGACTCAGTTTATTAAGTTTATTGAAGTGAGCTGTGGCTCACGAAAGCTCATGCTCAAATAAATTGGTTAGTCTCTAAGGTGCCACAAGTACTCCTTTTCTTTTTGCGAATACAGACTAACACGGCTGTTCCTCTGAAACCTGTCTTTATTAACACTGTTAGTGATAAAATAGAGTACATATAGAAAAGCACTGGCTTGACTAGTACCTTAAATATCTTTTTTTTGTATATTGGCTAATGGTTTTGTTTGTGACATTTCAGAATAAATATTAAAAAGTTATACAAAAATCATATGCAAAAATTACATGGTCTTTAAAAAAGAAAAAAAGTAGCAGTAAATGAATAATGTGAATACTATTTATGGAAATATTGTATATCAGTACTAACTAAATTAATTTTAATAGACTATTTTTAATGAGAAAGTTCAGATAGCACAACTGAAAGAAAGAACCGAACAACTAATAATGGAATTAGAACTTAAAATAACGGAAAAGCTGGAACTCTGCAAAAGGAAGTAAGTGATTTGATTGTACTCTTTGCTAAACTTGTATCGGCATTTAATATTTCTGTAATCTTTAAGGAGTTAACAACAGTATTTTTTTGTAACCAGCCAGATTTAATAAATTATTTGAATAATTGAATATATGGAATGGTAAGTAACTTCAAGTCAGCTATTGTATTTATAAATGTGGCTTTGGTATCTAATCTGTTCATTGGTTGCACAATCCAGTGCTATTCCTGGGAATCAAACTACCCCTCTTTCTAAAATATTGCAGGTCACCTGTCAGTCTTTCTGTTTGTGTGATTGTTTATAAAGACAGAATGGCTGACTTCATTCAAAATAGCAATATTTTAGGGGCCAATCGAGTGTTCACTGAAGTCAGTGGGCTTCTTTCCATTTATTTCAGTGGGCGCACACACACGAAAAGTAACCCAAATGATATATTGGTGAATTTGAGGTAGTTGCCATAGAATAAATATTCACATACAGTGTACATAGGGCTAGAATTGTGCCCAGCTGCTCCTCGTGTGTGGGCTGGGGAGGGTACACGTCACCACCAATGCACTCTGTTGCCCTCCTGCACAGCTACAATCCCTGTGTTCTGTAGGGCAGGGACACTCCTTCCATGTACCCCCAAAGGGGCAGGGAGGAAGCTGAGCCATGGATTACTTTAAATGGTACTACTGAGCTCATCATTTGGCTACCAGATTACCCCGACTGAAGGGTGATAGTGAAATGTACACATTCTCAGTAATTTCTCTGAGCTTTTTAACAATTTTGAAATTAAGTGGTTTTTTAGTTAATGGAAAAATACAACATGGAAATTTTCTTCGCAAATCAGACTTCCAGTTGAAATCCAAGATCTTGCCTCCACCAATGGCCAATACCTGATGCTTTGGAGGAAGGCAAAAGCACCTAACCGTAGGGAAAATATTAATCCTGGGAGCTTATTGCCTTGAACTCTGAATTTTGACTACCCTTTTCCTAGCTGGCATGACTACGCGCATCTTTTCAAAATCCAGCTGCAGTCCAGTACCCGAACATGGCTCTGACCTGTCAACATTTATGTACATGCTTCATTTTACTACCATGAGTGTTGACTTCAGTGGGACTATTCATACTAATAAATTGAAGCACATGTATACATGTTCACAGGCTCAGGGCCTTTGTGACATGCTGCAGTGAATTTCACTGGCTGGTATGACAAAAGCATTCCCTTTGTATGATTGTTATATTTTATAGTCCCCAAACTGTGTGAGGTGCCTTTTTTGCTCTACATTTTCTTGCCATTATCTCTAGCTCCACCTCATATTATATAATGGGCAAGGGCCTTAGTCAGTTAAGTTAAACTGAAGACCTGCCGTAGTATGTTCCTTCTTTCCCTGTAAATGGCACAGATCCCAAAGCCCACGCCACATGAGGTTCTCAGGTTTCCACATTTCTTTGTTATGAAGCCAGCAGTTTTTCTCCTCTTCCTTTCTTAAATTCTTTCCTCCTTTGTCAGATTTCTTACTTCTCACATTTTTCCTCTAGCTAGGAGGATGGGCCAGCTGGTTCCTTGCTTGACCATGGTCAATCCTACATGAGGAGCAAGGAAAGTGAATAGCTGTCATGCTTCTCCTACACTCTCTAAGACACACAAGCGCACAATGTCCATCAGAAGCAAGAAGTATGAATTTGTTTTCAATTTGTATTCCATCCACGAGGCTGGTATCACTGGGTATGTCTACACTGCAGTCAAAGGTGTGATTGCAGCTTGGGTAGGCCTCCTAGCTCTAATTTTGTGGCTAATTGCAGTTTGGGTAGGCCTTCTTAGAACTAAATTGGTTAAAATTAGCAGTGAAGATGCAGCTGCACAGGCTTCAGTGCAAGCTAGCAACATGAATAGATACCCAGGGTCTCACGGCAGTCTAGTATAGCTCACACTGAAGTCTGTGCTGCCACATTTTCACTGCTATTTTTAGCAAGCTAGCTAGACCACAGCTAGTGCAGGTATGTCTACACATGCCGCTATCAGATCTCCGGTTGCAGAGTAGACATACCCACTGTCGTTGGCTGGCTTTATCAGCTTCATAAGTTGTATATTAATCAGGTGTGTACCTGGGAAACGCCCACTGCTGAGTAAAAGATCTCTGTATTTGATAAAAGTTCAAGGTGTATTCAAAAAAATTGTATGTTGTGTTTACACTAAAGGTATAAGAATAAGACTACGTAATATTTAATGGGCTATTGGTCATAGTGCTTTGTTCATGTTCACTCCTTAATATGTCTGCATTGGCTTTGCTTCATAGATATAGCCTCGATTCTGACCTCCTCCTTTTGCAATCAAAAATTGCCCAAGAAAGAGAGCATCTAAATATTGATATAGCAACGGTAAGAAGTAGAAGATATTTTTTTACTACTTCATTGGTTTTTAAAATATATGAATATATATGAAATGTATGAGATCTTGGACCAGAGTTTATGAAAATGCCTGAAAAACTACACCAACAGCCAGCGTTTCTAAAATGCGGCCACCAGTGGTTTTTCTTGCGACCACGGCCTCCTGGGCTGTGATTGGGGGTGGGGGAGGGCAAAGCAGCCCGCCTCCCTTGCCCCCCGTTGCTCCTGGATTAAATGCCTTGGTGTTGTCTGCTGGGGCTGCAAGCAGGGGTTGGGCCCTGCCCCCCTCTGGAGACTGCTGGGGCACAATGCTGGAGGAACAGGCAACTGGTGAGTTCCCCCACCTTCCCAAGTGTGGTGGGGCTCAGGCTTTGGGTTTCACCCCTGGGGTGGCGTGGTGGCAGGCTCCGGCCACAGGGCTTCGGGCTCCAGCTCTGGACACACAGTTTCAGATTCCATCCCCAGCCACAGGGCTTTGGGCTCTGGCTTCGGGCTCTGGCCTCCCACTGTCTCCCCTGGACCCCCCCAACACTGTCACCCCTGGCCCCTACTTCTTACCCCAACCCCCCATCTAGGGCTTAATTTGTTCACAGGCTTGCCGGGAGTGAGTAAGCCTTCTGTGAAAAGTGGTACGTGTATGTTTGTTAATATCACTTTTTATAACAGGCTTACTAGCTAGCAATAAATAGATTACAATGATTTGGACATGTGTATGTGCATATTTATTTGTTTTTCCTAAACCTAATTAAGTATTTTAGGAAAAAGTATGACAGCGGCCACCAGCAAGAGTTGATGGCTGCACTCTGAGGCCACCAAAAAATTTGTCCTGAGAATCCCTCTAAACAGCCAACAGGAATCATGAATAAGGCTCAGTGTTTGTCACGGAAATCATAGATTCCATGACCTCGGTGACTTCTGCAGCGGTTAGTGTGCCTGGCTCGGGGGGCCGCCTGAGCAACTCAGGCAGCCCCTGGGCCAGTTGCACCGGCTGCTGCTGGGGCAGTCTCATCCATCCCGCCCCCCAGCAGCAGGCATTTGGATGTGGGGGAGGGCCTAGGGCTGGGGGTTCAGGTGCAGGGCAGTGCTTACTTAGGGTGGGCTCCCTGGCAGGGCTACAGGAACTCCCCTCCCTCAGCTCCTAGCTCCACATGCTGCCTCTGCCGGCAGGCACCGCCCCCGCAGCTCCCATTGGCCATGGTTCCCAACCACTGGAAGCTGCAGAACTGGGGCTTGGGGTGGAGCAGAGGCAGCACATGGAGCTCAGGAGCCGGGTAGGGAGCCTGCCCCAGCCTCGCCAACCCTCCCACCCAAGAACCCACAACGCCCCCCCCCCCGCTGTGCTCCCCACTCCCCAAGCACCCACGGTGCCCCCCAGGCTACCCCCCCAAGGCGTGCGTGCCCACCCACCCCCCATCTTTTAGTCAGGGGTATATAATAAAAGTCATGGACACGTCATGGGCCATGAATTTTTGTTTACTATCCATGACCTGTCCGTGACTTTTACTAAAAATACCTGTGACTAAAACATGGCCTTAATCATGAACAATTGGCCTTCTTTTACACTTTCACATGATGGTGTGACGTTTGTAATTAGCTTTTGTATATAAGCCATTTTGGTGTATAGTACTATGAATACAGTGCAAATCTATTAGCCATAAATAACTGCAAAATACCTGTGATCTGATCTGTTAATAGGTATAATTTATATAAGCAGCATTATTTTATGTTGTAGTGTGTATGCAGAACATTTATTTCTTGATCAGAACTACTTTTTGTCACTTTTTTTATTGTTATATTTGTGGGTGCACTCTAGGTTAATATTCTAAAATTGGACTAATTTTTTTCAAGTAATCACTTGGGCCCAGAGGCTGCAAGTGGGTGAGCCATCACACTTGCACAGAGCCTCATTGACTGCAATTGTTTGCAAAAGTGGGGCCTGACAAGGCACAATCCTTTGCATGTTCAGGGTTTAAATAACATTTGTTTTATTTTGATCCATGTTTGTTTTAGGGCACAGAAAACATATCTTGGGAATCAGACAATTTTTATAGCAGGTATTATTTTCGATGTACCCTGCTATAGCATTGTGTTTGAGTTGTTTACATAGGAGTGAAGTAATAAACTCTAAATAAGTGGGTCCCAGTGCACAAGAATCAATGACAAAAAGTGAAATAGTATAACTGACCATGGTCTATAAATTGAGCATGTTTTCACCTTTGGATTTTACTGCTGTTTCATCCTCTCTTTTTTTAATACATGCCATTTCCTTAAAACAGCTCTGTAGTGGGGCGGCTGCCCCACTCCTGCAGAACAGGGGTTAAAAGCCAGCCCTTGGAGAGGGCTAAGGCTGAAAGCCGATAAGAAAAGGCTGATTGGGAAAGCAGCCACAGCTGCGGGCAGCTCAATCGGGGCCCAGCTGGCCCTTATAAGAGGGATGGGGGCCAGGAGCGGGAAGAGTCTCACTCTAGACCTGGAGGGAGAAGGGCTGGCTGCCTGGGAGATGAAGGTGCCTAAGCAGAGCAGGGCTGGGGAAGGGTAAGGGGAGCTCCCGCCTGGTAAACCCCCAGGCTGCAGGCCTTGGTGAAGGCCTACACAGGTACTGGGCTTGCAGAAGTGCAGCCCCGGGTTATGCAGAGACAACTGGTCCTACCCCCTTGCCTGTGATGAGTTGCCATTACAGACTGCAGTCTGCCCCAGTGAGCGGGGGCTATATGACGACTGGCAGTAGCCACTGAGGCAAGGTGGGTTTAGAGGGTTGGGGGTTCCCCTGGGAGGGGAGACCCAGAGTGTGGGGGTACTGCTGGGGCAGAACCCCAGGGTAAAGGGCACCGGGGTCCAGTGGCAAGCGAGACACTGGCCTGCAGAGGACGCTCCAGAGCTGGACATGAGCTAATTCCCAAGACGACCAGCAGGAGGCGCCACACCAGTGAGGCATCGCCTCGCTACAGGCTCACTCTTAGGCAAATGAACTTATTTCTCTAGTAGCTATCATCAGGTAAAATTAAGGACCCAAATTCACTGGTACAGCTCTGGCAGTTGTTTTTTTGTTAATCACTCCCATGATTCAAAGTAGATATAAACCTGACTTAACCAGCCAGTTAAATTGGGTTTGTGGCTTTTGTCTGGAGCTGGAGCAGCACAAAACGGTCAGAGTGGACTGGTGAATGTTTCCTAGGGTCTGTTCCAAAGAAGCTGTGCTACAATGGAGCTGAAGATTTGGGTGAAACAATAGATGAGGGTTATTGCGTGTCCCAGGTTGTGATATTTTCTTGGGGTGCCCAAGACTGAGAGTCACCTTGTTACCCACTGCTTCCAGTGAGAGGGAGTCTAAATTGTAATAACTGGGTGTCAGCTCCCTTACACTGCCAGCCTGTCAGCCACTCAAGCATTCTTCTCTGGGCTTATGACAGCCCTAACTTTGACTTGCAGATTAATACTAGATGCAACCCAGTCCCTGAGCTCCTCTGAAGTGTCCCCCAGTAGTATCTGGCTTCTGTCATGGGACACTCTCAGAAATTACCAGGTAAGCTGTTCCCAAGGGAACAGTATACACACAGCTTGACTGGCGCAAATCAGGATGCGGTCCTTTATAACATTCCTATGCTGAGCTGTATTTGTAAGGAAATAGTCATAAGTGTATTATCAAAGATTAAGATTTAAGAGATACTGAGTCAGGATGATGGAAACATAAATGGTTACATAAAAAAACAAGTATAACACACTTCTTATAGTCTGAACTTAACTTTAACAGGCTAAACATCTGTCTGAAAGCAGTTTTATCTCACGCAAAGCTTTCTTCCAACATCACTAACCAATATGGCTAGGATCCAACTTTCATGAACACAAAAAGGGCTGTTCTTTTTGCTTCCTCGGTGAAGGATAAAAAAGATGTCTGCCCTCTTGCCTTCCTCTTATACGCCAAAGACTGCTGTTTTTGTCCCCATAGTCAGGATGACCCCTGAGGTTCTTTTCCTGGGATGCTGGCTCCCAGGTGTCTTCACATACTCCTGATTAGTCTGCAGGCAGATTTGGCTTCCATTGTGTTGGCTTATCATGCTTAAACTACATAGTCAACAGAGAGACAGGTGGCTAAATGTCCTTTGTCTGACCCCAAACCTGTTTGTCAGCTCTACCTTGGACACCAATTTTGGGACATATACACAGCTCCTTAAATAGTATCTGTACATACATCTTATAACAATTATGAAGATCAGTATGTTATAGACTTTGCTAGTTGGTACTGAGGGTTTCTTAGGGTCACACAGGGGTGCTGTGAAGTTTAATTAAGTAAAAGTCTCTCAGATTTTCTGATGGAAGGTGATGTGGCTGTACAAAGTATTATTACAATGACTATTAGATATATGTAAAATAGACTGGGAATTAGAATGAATATTTAGTAACTATCTTTGGTCTTTATTTCTAGGCTAAGGAAGAATTAAGTACAGCTGAAGGCCTGAATAGAAAACTTAAACATGAAAATAAATTTATAAGTAGCCAGTATCGAATATTACTGACGGAAGAGGAACACTTACATGCAAAAAGGGACGAGGCAGCAACAGAGTAGGTTTAAACTGTCAATTTCTTAATTCTGAGAATTAAAAGCGTCGTAGAGCAGTTTTTAAACTAAGAGCTGAGGGAAAGCCGACAGGTGTGGAGGAGCATGTGGTTTGGACAGAGATGTCCCGTAGGGGAGGATCTATTAATGGAGATTCTCTGTATCTTAGTAAGGAGGAGAGGATGGAATATGATAAAATACAGGTAGGATCTGATAAGAAAACAGCCAAATGAAAAAGAGTCCCATTCAGTTATTTCACATAATGGCAGACAGCTAAAAAGTGACAAATTTTTAAGTGCTTATATACAAATGCTAGAAGTCTAAATACTAAGATGGGTGAACTTGAGTGCCTCGTATTAAATGAGGATATTGATGTAATAGGCATCACCGAAACTTTGTGGAATGAGGATAGTCAATGGGACACAATAATATCAGAGAACAAAATGTATCAGAAAGACAGAATAGGTCATACTGGTCAGGGAGGGGCACTATATGTGAACAAAAGTGTAGAGTCAAATAAAGTAAAAATAATAAATGAACCAAATGGTACCATAGAATCTCTATAGATAGTAATTCCATGCTTGAATAATAAGAATATAGCAGTAGAGATATACTACTGATCAGGATGGTGATAGAGACTGTGAAATGCTCAGGGATATTAGAGGAGCTATACAAATAAACTCAATAATAATGCGGAATTTCACCTATCCCCATATTAACTGGGTACATATCACTGTGACAGGTTCCCCAGGGCACAACCTGAAAGTGGGGTATCACTGAGCCCTCTGTCATAACAACCTGGGCTCCCTCTCACACTGTGAAGCTGTGCCAAGCTGCAAACCTCTCCAGGTCCTGCACTTACACAGACACCCACAGGCAGGGACACAAGCAGCTGAGTTACATGAATGCTTCTCCTAGCCACTCATGAACCAACAATAGAGAGGCTCCAGCCAATTCCCCACGGCTCCCCAGCCTGACCAGTGTAAATTTATTACCCAGTTTGCCACTTCTACAAAGGAAAGCAGACATGTGCCAGCTTTTGTGCACTGAGCAGATTCCCCAAGCACTTCAAGGAAAACACACTGTTTTAGGTAAAATATAAAACAGATTTATTAACTACAGAAAGATAGATTTTAAGTGATTATAAGTAATAAACATACGGAATAAAGTTGGTTACCTAAGAAATAAAAATAAAATCACAATCTGAGTTCTATAAATTAGACAGGATTTCAATCAAGCCATGTCTCACCCTGATGGTATAGTTCCTTAATACAAAACCTGGGATTCTCCTTTCCAGCCTGAGACCGCCTCCCCATTTCAGTCTTTGTTCTCCAGACATGTTTCCAAGTGTTGAGTTGTGGGGAGAGTGAGGACAAATGATGATGTCACTTCCCCTCCTTTATAGTTCTTCCAGCTTACTGGAAAGACCCTTTTGCTAAGAGGTGCATCAAGCGGTCTCCATTGTCTATGTGCTCTCTCTGAGAGGCCTCCATTGTATACAGTTCCTGGAGTAGTCCTTGAGAGAGTGTATTCCTCTTAATGGGCCATTATCAGTGTCTGGCTGCTTCCTTGTTGCACCTGAAAGGCTGGTTGTGGGTGTTCCCAACCTTGCACCATATTTCAGTAACACACACATAGCAAAACTTCATAACTTCCCATACAATGATAGCACATACAGTCCAACAGGGTATTAATGTTCAACAGATCAAGACTTTTAAAATGCTACATCACAAGGCATACTTTGTACAAAGCATATCATAATCACAAAACTATGGTAAATATGGGGGTGCCAGGGAGTTGCTTTGGGCTACAGAGGGTCACAGACACCTCAGGATGGGATGCAGAGATAAACTTTCTTGACACCTTACATGACTGCTTCTTGGAGCAGCATATTCCTGAAACCCACAAAAGGAGAGGCAATTCTTGATTTAGTCGTAAGTGGAGTACAGGTTCTGGTCCAAGAGATGAATATAGCTGAATCGCTTGGTAATAGTGACCATAACGTAAGAAAATGTAACATCCCTATGGGGAGGGGGACACCAAAGCAGCCCACCACAGTAATATTTAATTTCAGAAAGGGGAGCTACACAAAAATGAAGAATGTAGTTTACAGAAATTAAAAGGTACAGTGCCAAAAGTGAAATCCCGGCAAGCTGCATGGAAACTTTTTTAAAACACCGTAATAGAGGCTCATTTTAAATGAAAACCTGTAATTAAAAAATATAGTAAGAGGACCAAAAAAGTGCCACCGTGGCTAAACAGCCAAGTAAAAGAAGCAGTTAGAGGCAAAAAGGCATCCTGTAAAAAGTGGAAGTTAAGTTCTATTGAGGAGAATAGAAAGGAGCATAAACTCTGGCAAGTGAAGTGTAAAAATATAATTAAGAAGGCTAAAAAAGAATTTGAAGAGCAGCTAGCCAAAGACTCAAAAAGTAACAGCCAAAAAAAAAAGTGCATCCGAAGCAGGACCCCTGCTAAACCAACAGTGGGGCCATTGCATGATCGAGATGCTAAAGGAGCACTCAAGAAAGATAAGGCCATTGTGGAGAAACTAAATGAATTCTTTGCATCGGTCTTCATGGCTGAGGATGTGAGGGAGATTCCCACACCTGAGCCATTCTTTTTAGGAAACAAATCTGAGGAACTGTCCCAGATTGAGGTGTCATTAGAGGAGGGTTTGGAACAAATTAATAAATTAAACAGTAATAAATCACCAAGACCAGATGGTATTCACCCAAGTGTTCTAAAGGAACCCAAATGGGAAATTGCAGAACTACTAACTGTAGTCTGTAACCTATCATTTAAATCAGCTTCTGTACCAAATGACTGGAGGATAGCTAATGTGATACCAATTTTTTAAAAGGGTTCCAGAGGCAATCCCTGCAATTACAAGACAGTAAGCCTCACTTCTTTACTGTAGTTGCAATCAATTTGCCTAGTGCTGAACAGAATTATCAGACAGATAGATGAATGTGATTTGTTAGGGAAGAGTCAGCATGGTTTTTGTACAAGGAAATCATGCCTCACCAATCTACTAAAATTCTTTGAGGGGGTCAACAAACATGTGGACAAAGGTGATCCAGTGGATAGAGTGTTCTTAGATTTTCAGAAAGCCTTTGACAAGGTCCCTCACAAAAGGCTCTTAAGCAAAGTAAGTAGTTATGGGATAAGAAGGACGGTACTCTCATGGATCAGTAACTGGTTAAAAGATAGGAAACAAAGGGTAAGAATAAATTGTCAGTTTTCAGAATGGAGAGAGGTAAATAGTGGTGTCCCCCAGGGGTCTGTACTGGGACCAGGACTGTTCAACATATTCATAAATGATCTGGAAAAAGGGTAAACAGTGAGGTGGCAAATTTGCTGATGATACAAAACTACTCAAGATAGTTAAGTCCAAAGCAGACTGCGAAGAGTTACAAAGGGATCTCACAAAACTGGGCAACAAAATGGCAGATGAAATTCAATGTTGATAAATACAAAGTAATGTACATTGGAAAACATAATTCCAACTATGCATATAAAATGATGGGGTCTAAATTAGCTGTTACCACTCAAAAAAGAGATCTTGGAGTCATTGTGGATAGTTCTCTGAAAACATCCACTCAATGTGCAGCGCCAGTCAAAAAAGCGAACCAAATGTTGGGAATCATTAGGAAAGGGATAGATAAGACAGAAAATATCATGTTACCGCTATATAAATCCATGTATGCCCACATCTGGAATACTGCGTGCAGATCTTGTTGCCCCATCATGATTGATGTGGAGAAGGTAAATAAGGAAGTGTTGTTTACTCCTTCTCATAACACAAGAATTAATGATAGCCAGCAGGTTTAAAACAAACAAAAGGAAGTATTTCTTCACACAATGCACAGTCAGTCGGTGGAACTCTTTGCCAGAGTATGTTGTGAAGGCCAAGACTATAACAGGGTTCAAAAAAGAATTAGATAGGTTCATGGAGGATAGGTCCATCTATGGCTATTAGCCAGAATGGGTAGGAATGCACAACCATTCTCTGAAGTGTCCCTATCCCCTGTTTGCAAGAAGCTGGGAATGGGCGATGGGATGGATCACTCAATGATTACCTGTTCACGTTCATTCCCTCTGAAGCACCTGGCATTAGCCACTGTTGGAAGACAGGATAATGGGCTAGATGGATCATTGGTCTGACCCACTATGGCCATTTTTTTGTCCTGATTTTTAGAGAAGGCAGTTTTATTTCTGAAGCTTTTCTTTTTGAAGAGTAAAATCACTTCTTTATATGACTGAAGATATAACTGATCTTTCTCCCTTGGTAGGCTTGAACGATTATCCAGTTGGCTGGATGAAAGACTTGACATTATGTCAAAGCGTGTGGTGGAGGAGCAAAACTTGGAGGATGAAGTTGAGAGACTCGAAGATATCTTTCAGTATGTCACTTTTCAATATTGACTGTATTAATGACCTGGCTGCAGCTTAATCATGGGCCCATGTGAGTTTGGGAAAGACTAAAACTTAAGTATTCAAAGATGCTTTAAAGAGAAAGCCAAATGAGTTTATAAACCATACCAGCAAATTGGTATAAAATTACATGCAAAGAAGTCTTGCTTTTTTAGTTACCGATAATGCCGTCTGCAATTTATTATCGCCAGGCAAAGTACACACAAACAAGAAGATTAAGAACAAGACACTGATTCAGAGAAATATTATAGAAATAGTATTGAATACATAACTTCAAAATCAAACAAGTGTAATGGCTCAGATCCCAGTCCAGGCTAGAGCCCTTTTTTGGTGGGGCAAAGGGGCTGTAAACCTGCCCTAATTGGGTGGCTGAGGTTTTCTCTGATGTGGTGCAGTCCCTGGGTTGTGTAGACATGGTGGTATAGCCTGCATCTTGCTCCCTGGTGTAGAGGATGTGCTTGGGATGAGTGTTCACGGAGCATTGGTGCACTCTTGTGATCTGTGGTTGCTGGCACAGCTTTTTGGGGTCAGTTATTGGCTGGTACATTAGAACAGCGGTTTTCAAACTGTGGGTCATGGCCCAGTACTGGGTTGCGGAATGTAAGGCACTGGGTCACAGCAGTTCTGGTCAGCACTGCCAACGGGGCCATTAAAAGTCTCATTGGTGGTGCTGCCTCCCTACCTGTTCCCTCACCACGCTGCACTCCAGAAGCAGCTAGCGGCAGGTCCAGCTCCTAGGCCGGGGGGGCCACAGGGCTCCATGAAATGCCCCTGCCCCAAGCACCGGCTGGGGGGGAGGGGGTGGGTGCCTGCGGGCGAGAGCTGCATGGAGCCGCTTGTGCACCTCCGCCTAGGAGCCGGACCTGCTGCTGGCTGCTTCTGGGGCGCAGCGTGTTCCGCGGTGCCAGGACAGGCAGGAAGCCTGCCTTAGCACCCCCACTGCGTCGCTGACCACGAGCCACTCAATGTAAGCCTGTGCTCCAATCCCCTGCTCCATCCCAGGGCCCCTTCCTGCAGCCCAAACCCCTCATCCCTGGCCCCAGGCCAGAGCCCTGACCCCATCCTGCACCCCTGCCCCAGCCCAGAGCCCCTTCCCACACCCTGAACCCCTCATTCCCAGCCCCACCCCGCAGCCCTCACCCCCGCACCCCAACCCTCTGTCCCAGCCCTGAGCCCCTTCCACACCCCAAGCCCCTCATCCCGAGCTCCGTTGGGTCACGGGCATCAACAATTTTCTTCAACTGGGTCGCCAGAAAAAAAAAGTTTGAAAACCACTGCATTAGAGCAACTCATCCAGGGGGCTAAAAACAGCATTCTCTAAGGTGCCACAAGTACTCCTTTTCTTTTTGCGAATACAGACTAACACGGCTGTTCCTCTGAATCCTGCAGCTTGGGCTCTCAAGCACATCTGACCCATAGATTTAAGACCCTGAGCTCCAGCCCAAGCGGCAACATCCACACTGCTATTTTTAGCATGATAGCCCTGTATAGCATGTAGCAATCAGAATATATTATCCCTGATCCTTGAATCGCTGTGAAATGACAGAATTATGCTCTAATAACTGTCCTAAATGGGCAGGTCCCACATGGGGGAGTGGCAACTCCTTGAACTTCAACTCTCAGAGCTTATTTTTCTGCCAGAAGGCATGGTCTGTCCCTCTCTGCAGAAAAGGGTGGGGGAGGTCAGTGCTCTAAGCCTACGCAGAGGCAAGGAGCGCATCTGCACAGACACCCCTTGTCTTTTAACTGCCACCTATTTTCCTGGCTTCATGCTGCCTCTTGTTAGCATGGTTCTGGCAGGAGCTGTGCTGCCAGCCTCTCCTTGCCTGCTGTTATCCCCCCTGAATCCTTCTCAGGAGCATTTCCTGGCACCTCATAAATATGCAGGTGCCCTAGTTATGGATAAAATGTAGGAGAATAATTGTTCTCACTTTTTATGTTGAAAAAGGAAAAGACCCAATAGATATAGTCTGATGTCTATCTTGGTATTTAACTTGAACTGACCCAACAGGATATACCTTCTGTGTATATATGAAATTGAGAAATAAAGGGTAAGGAATAGCCAAACAATGTTGTAAAGAGAAGGAAAATCTCATATTGAAGTACTCATGCAGCGAAGTCAGCAGTTTAAAAAATATAAGGAATAAATTAACAAGAAGAGGAGGTGAACTAATTATCACTGTCTCAATATTATTTGGTTATCCGAAATAATGCTAGGAATCTCCTACAGAAGTGGTAGAAGCCCCATTGGTTAAGACTTTTAAAACTAGACTGGACCGAGCTCTATATCTTATGGAATAATCCTGCACTCAGAGAGCTGGATTGGAAAGTCTCTTCCATCTCTAATGTCTTACATTTTATTATACAATTCTGTGAACTCCCATTGACTTAATTGGCACTTAGTATTTCTCAAGATCAGCCCCAGTGTTATGTGCAGTGTTACAGGAAGGCAGCATGATATTGTGGATAGAGCACTGGATGGGGATTCAGGAGACCTGGATTCTGTTCTTAGCCCTGGAGTGCTGCGTGACCCATAGCAAGTCACTGCATCGCCGTATGCCTTAGTTTCCCCATCTGTAAAATGGGAATAATGATACTGATTCCCTTTTTAAAGCACTTTGAAGTCTGTTATGAAAACTGCTGTGTAATGTATTATTATTAGCAATTCCGTAGGAATTTAGCAAAGCTTTTGATACTGTCTCCTACAGTATTCTTGCCAGCAAGTTAAAGTATGGGCTGGATGAATGGACTATAAGGTGGATAAAAAGCTGGCTAGATCGTCGGGCTCAACGGGCAGTGATCAATGGCTCTATGTCTAGTTGGCAGCCAGTATCAAGCGGAGTACCCCAAGGGTCGGTCCTGGGGCTGGTTTTGTTCAATATCTTCATTTATGATCTGGAGGATGGCGTGGATTGCACCCTCAGCAAATTCACAGATTACACTAAACTGGGGGGAGTGGTAGATATGCTGGAGGGTAGGGATAGGATACAGAGGGACCTAGACAAATTAGAGGATTGGGCCAAAAGAAATGTGATGACGTTCAACAGGGATTAGTGCAGAGTCCTGCACTTAGGACAGAAGAATCCCATGCACTGCTACAGACTAGGGACCAAGCAGCTAGGCAGCAGTTCTACAGAAAAGGACCTAGGGGTTACAGTGGATGAGAAGCTGGATATGAGTCAACAGTGTGCCCTTGTTGCCAAGAAGGCTATTGGCATTTTGGGCTGTATAAGTAGGGGCACTACCAGCAGATCGAGGGACACAATCATTCCACTCTATTTGGCATTGGTGAGGCCTCATCTGGAGTACTGTGTCCAGTTTTGGGCCCCACACTACAAGAAGGATGTGGAAAAATTGGAAAGAGTCCAGTGGAGGGTAACAAAAATGATTAGGGGGTGGAGCACATGACGTATGAGGAGAAGCTGAGGGAACTGGGATTGTTTAGTCTGCAGAAGAGAAGAATGAGGGGGGATTTGATAGCTGCTTTCAACTATCAAATTGAGTGGGGAGGGATAGCTCAGTGGTTTGAGCATTGGCCTGCTAAACCTAGGGTTGTGAGTTCAATTCTTGAGGGGACCATTTAGGAATCTGGGGCAAAAGTTGAGGATTGGTCCTGCTTTGAGCAGGGAGTTGGACTAGATGACCTGCTGAGGTCCCTTCCAACCCTGATATTTTATGAATGTATATGATAAGGAGCATGGGAACACACACACACAAACAAAGGAGAAGAAGGGTAAAGTCTTTGTTTTGGTTTGTTTTTTAAATAGCCACCTGTACACAATACTATTGTCTGTAAGGGTTCTCTCAGAGAATAGTTCTAAAAATCCAGGAAAAATAAATCCGCTGATGAGGGGTGAGCAAACAGAATTTTATAAATTGCTGAATAGCAAAATACTAGTATTATTTTGCTAACCAAACGTGGACAGAATATCAGTTAGGGCATGTTCAGCTGTCTCTGCGGGGCCACCCCACCTGCATACATTTGAAGTCTACTGGGGTGGCAGCCTGAGGGTTGGTGTAAGCCCTGCCCTTCAAGCTCAGGAGAGTGTCCACTACCACCTACTGCCAAATCTTCTTGGGGCTTTGGGTAGTCGCTTTTCCATCTCCCGCTTGTATCTCAAAGGAGAGCAGGTCACTGGTAACAGTGTCTCCTGAAAACGCAGTCAGACATATGGGAGCAGGATTACATCTGCCTCCAACTACCAGCGTTTTTATTTTTTTAAACTAAAATCCTCTTGAATGTGTTGAGTCCACAAAAAATTGTTGCATGCTAGTGTTTGCCTTGGGACTTTTACATTAGCAAATATATATAATGTGTGCAAGTGAATGCATGCATCCATCTGCCTTGAGGCTCCAATCTGTGCAAGTTCTTCTGTATTAGTTACTGCACCTAAATCATACCAATGTAGCATCTCTGTTCTTAAACTTTTGCCCTAGTGTTTTGGGCTTGATTAATAGGATCTCTGATTGCCTTCTCTTGCAGTGTTATTGATTCTGGCATAAGTCAGGACTCTTGGCTTTGTCATAGCCTTTACCAAGTGCCTGTTTAACTTTGCAATCATGTCGCCTACAACAACAAACCATATGAAGCACAGAACCATGACTGCACACCAAAATAGGTGCATTTCTGAGAAGTGAGTCCCCAGCTGGTAGGAGTGCTTAGCTTGCTGCCTTGGAAAATGCTTTTAAAAATTGTATATTCAAAAAATGACTTATAAAATAAAGTAGTATGCAAAGGTTTAGCATTACTTTGAACCTTTATTCTTGTTTCAGAAACACAAAGGATGCCTATGCAAGAGAACTAGAGAATCTAGAGCAATGTTTAAAGAGAGAAAGTGAGATGAGGTAAAATTACAAGTCACCATCTTCATAAGGAACAGATCAACATATTAATGATTTACAGTGACTTTGTTTATATTTTTCAAATAAGACCTAAAACCAAGGTCCTAACCACCCAAAGCTCCAGTGGTCCTTTTTGCTGGATAAGGAGTGATTCATCTCAATGTCTTGGCCAAATTACATCTGGGGTAATTGTATTCTGTCTTCTAAATTCCTCTGCTGTCTCATTTGGATGAGATATTCTTCACTTCCTGGCCTGTGGTGGTGTTGTGTGGTAACAGCTGCTAAACTTTACCAAGTAGGTGGCTCTGTATCAGCAATTCATTAAATTGTTCTGGTTTGGGTAACAATTTAATTTTGTAAAGCACTTTGGGATCCTTCCAGATGGAAAAACACTGTATACGTGTAAGCTATCGCTGTTGTTTTCCAGTTTAGGGCTGATCTTACACAATTGAGGTCAATGGGAGTTTTGCCATTGATTTCACTGGGAGCAGGATCAGACCTTGAGTCTGTGTGGCCTAATTTTCTCAAGTTCCAAGCGCTCACAACTCCTGTTAAAGTCAATGGGTACTTAGAATGCTCGCACCTTTGAAAATCATGCCACCGTCTGGTAGACATTTAGGACTCCAGCTGTCATGAGCACAGTGGACTGGGAAAGAGGATGGTCTGTTTTAAAATGATTTTGCATCTTGGATTATAACAGCTGCTTTCTTGGGGACTGCATATTTTTCAGCCTTTAAATAGAGCCTTCCATTGAGTTTGTTTTGTTTGAGGGGTGGTGGTGGGGAGGAGGGTGGAAGCATGTTCTACAAAGACCACTGAAAGCACATTATAATAAGAGTTATGCTAAATGCATCCCTATTGATGAGATCTGCCAAGATGTAAATTGCATCACTCTGCATTCTCTGTTTAAGCACTGATGCTTGGATTTAGATGCCAGGAGGCCCTTTCCTGTCTCACTCTTTTAGTGTGTATGGGCAGGGGGAAGCTAGCTATGGAAGAGGCCCCAAGTTGGATAAATCTGAATTAACTATTGTAACTGGAGTTGTGTGTGAAAGGATGATAAAATTTTCCCAGTTTGCTTTGAAGTTTACTTGGCAAACTCAGAACTCCAAGTGAACCTAAGGGGTAGGAAGGGGAGAAATACTCACAAGCTGAACCATCTTCAAATTCTGGTCTAAAACCCAGTTTTACTCAGCTGTGCTCAAGACGTGCTGCTCTTCCAAACCAAAAGGGACATGTGTTATTTTTAGAGAGGCAAGTTCTACATACTTCTCTTAGGGCTTTTCTCCATGAGAGCCTCCCAGCTGTTTGACTCTGTTTTCCTTACAGAGGTAAGAACTGAAGCTCTCTGGCCATATTGTTCCATCCTCTTTATTATCCACATCATTACCCCATTGCATGGCTAGATCTTCTCTAGGAATTATTTTTGGAAAAATCTACAGCCTGTGTTATGCAGGAGGTTAGACTAGATGATCACAGTGGTCCCTTCTGGCCTGGAAACCTGTGAATTTATGCTGTTGGTGGGATCCTCTCAGAATCAAGTCTGCTTTGTTACTTTACACATGCAATGCAGCTCTGATTTCCCAGTCAGTTACAATGCAATGTCATGTAATGGGTGATTCCACACAAAGATGGACTACAAGCCGTCAAGAACACTATCCCCGATAATGTCACGGCTAACCTGGTGGCTGAACTTTGTGACTTTGTCCTTACCCATAACTATTTCACATTTGGGGACAATGTATACCTTCAGATCAGCGGCACTGCTATGGGTACCCGCATGGCCCCACAGTATGCCAACATTTTTATGGCTGATTTAGAACAACGCTTCCTCAGCTCTCGTCCCCTAAAGCCCCTACTCTACTTGCGCTATATTGATGACATCTTCATCATCTGGACCCATGGAAAAGAAGCCCTTGAGGAATTCCACCATGATTTCAACAATTTCCATCCCACCACCAACCTCAGCCTGGTCCAGTCCACACAAGAGATCCACTTCCTGGACACTACAGTGCTAATAAACAATGGTCACATAAACACCACCCTATACCGGAAACCTACTGACCGCTATTCCTACCTGCATGCCTCCAGCTTTCACCCTGACCACACCACACGATCCATCGTCTACAGCCAAGCTCTGCGATACAACCGCATTTGCTCCAACCCCTCGGACAGAGACAAACACCTACAAGATCTCTGTCAAGCTTTCTTACAACTACAATACCCACCTGCAGAAGTAAAGAAACAGATTGATAGAGCCAGAAGAGTTCCCAGAAGTTACCTACTACAGGACAGGCCTAACAAAGAAAATAACAGAACGCCACTAGCCGTCACCTTCAGCCCCCAACTAAAACCCCTCCAACGCATTATTAAGGATCTACAACCTATCCTAAAGGATGACCCAACACTCTCACAAATCTTGGGAGACAGGCCAGTCCTTGTCTACAGACAGCCCCGCAACCTGAAGCAAATACTCACCAACAATCACATACCACACAACAGAACCACTAACACAGGAACTTATCCTTGCAACAAAGCCCGTTGCCAATTGTGCCCACATATCTATTCAGGGGACACCATCACAGGGCCTAATAACATCAGCCACACTATCAGAGGCTCATTCACCTGCACATCCACCAATGTGATATATGCCATCATGTGCCAGCAATGCCCCTCTGCCATGTACATTGGTCAAACTGGACAGTCTCTACGTAAAAGAATAAATGGACACAAATCAGATGTCAAGAATTATAACATTCATAAACCAGTCGGAGAACACTTCAATCTCTCTGGTCACGCAATCACAGACATGAAGGTCGCTATCTTAAAACAAAAAAACTTCAAATCCAGACTCCAGCGAGAAACTGCTGAATTGGAATTCATTTGCAAATTGGATACTATTAATTTAGGCTTAAATAGAGACTGGGAGTGGCTAAGTCATTATGCAAGGTAGCCTGTTTCCTCTTGTTTTTTCCTACACCCCCCCCTCCAGATGTTCTGGTTTAACTTGGATTTAAACTTGGAGAGTGGTCAGTTTGGATGAGCTATTACCAGCAGGAGAGTGAGTTTGTGTGTGTATGGGGGTGGGGGGGGGATGTGAGAAAACCTGGATTTGTGCAGGAAATGGCCCAACTTGATTATCATGCACATTGTGTAAAGAGTTGTCACTTTGGATGGGCTAGCACCAGCAGGAGAGTGAATTTGTGTAGGGGGGTGGAGGGTGAGAAAACCTGGATTTGTGCTGGAAATGGCCCAACCTGATGATCACTTTAGATAAGCTATTACCAGCAGGACAGTGGGGTGGGAGGAGATATTGTTTCATATTCTCTGTGTATATATAAAGTCTGCTGCAGTTTCCACGGTATGCATCCGATGAAGTGAGCTGTAGCTCACGAAAGCTCATGCTCAAATAAATTGGTTAGTCTCTAAGGTGCCACAAGTACTCCTTTTCTTATTGTTTATCTACTTGCCACTAGAGCTTTGCTTCAGTGGAAGCAACTTCACCTGGCAAAGAAGAAGGAACTCTTGTGGGTAACAGAGGAGAAATTCATGAATGAAATGAATGTAAGACTTGAGACTGGTAAAAAACGTCATGCTGAGCTAAGTGGAGAGGTATGTTAACCAGTTGGCATTACAACAAAGCCTATCCATTGTAATCCCCTACCTTTCATGCGGTTCTTGGCAAAGTGGTTAAACTTTAAGGGCCAGATCCTCAGTTGGTGTACATTATAATTTTGAAGGCATTGTGTCAGTTTATACCATCTGAGAATCTGGCTTTAACCGATGATTAATAAAATTGTAAAGCAGTTATGATTACACAGCACTGTGTTTCAAATGACGACTACATCCATTTTACTCAGAGCGGTTATTGTTTAATACTGCAAGTGAGCCAGTGTGTACTGCAGAAATGATTGTCCCTGTTAATTTTGTTTTCTGCAACCAGAATGAGTATTTCCGAAAAGAAATTTTGCAGGCTGAGGAACAGGTCAAACACCTTAGTGATGATATAAATAAAAGGGAAGCTGAATGCGAGAAGTATGAAAACAGCTTAATAGAAGACATACAATGGCTTGAGGTAAATGTCATTTTTAAAAAAATTCTTAAAAAGAGTTGTTTAAATGGGGAGATGACGTTTGCTCGTGTAAATTGACACCACTCTATTGACTTCAGTGGTGCTACACCAATTGCCACTAGCAGATAATTTGGCCCATGATTACTAATAGTTTCAGGAAAAAGTGATTCAGTGCCATATTAACTCTTTGAATGCTGTACTGACATTCCTAGAACAGGAGAGGTTTGGGTTGGGTTTTTTGGGTTTTCTTTTTCTTGCTAAGCAGTTATGACCTGATCCAAAGCCCACTGATATCTCTGGGCTTTGAATAGGGCCCTTAGCACTTACTAGCAGTGGGTAAAGTCTTCCTTTGCAACTGGTACAAGGCTTTGTGTGCACTGAAAATAAGAGCAATGAAGTGGTGGATTCCATGCAGGGAGCTTTCCCACAGTTACTTGATTGCTAGATGCCAAAGGCAAAGAGGTCTGATCATTGTTTGGTTTAAACTGCCTTAATCCCACCTGTTCCCTGAACTGCTAGATGAGACCTAAGTGAGAAATAAAATAAAACTGGTTTCTTCTTAGTAGTCTTCCAGACAAACCAACAACAAAGGCATCAGTCTGAGTTTTGTGGCTGATATATCATCTAGTACAGGAAGTTGATTGAACAACTCATACTGCTACTAAATTGTGGCATGCCCTCCACATGTGTCCTTATCCATATGTATGTACTCATATCTATCAAATGGAATTCCATGCCGAGAAAGTGCCCATAAAAAGTGTAAAAGATCTGCAATAAAAAATTTAAAATCAAATATAGTGGACCAAATTCTTTCGTGATTTGCAACCCCGTTAACTTTGAAGCAGTTGCTTGGAGTTGATCAGTGTGAAATTTGTCCCACAATATTTAGATAAACAGCATAGGCTTTATGAAAATATTAGTCTCACTGCTGACATGATGGGCCAAATTCTGTTCGGAGTTACAGAGCTGTAAATCCATTGACATCACTGGTGTTGTGTGAGGCGTAATCCAGGGCAGTTTGGTCCTATGTGCACTAATCTTCTGAGTGCTCTATTATAGTTTCCAGCAGCCCTCCTTCAAAGAGAAAGGAGGACAATATGAGACTCTGAATGAGAACTGATTGGAGCTTCCAGAAACATCAGGCACTTCTCCCATCCGGTGTATGTAGCATTTCCTCTGTCTCTAGGTAACATTTCCTGGTTGTATGATTCTCAGCCGTCAGTCTAATGGTTCAGAATAGGATAAACCAGACATCCTTAATGTATGAAATATCCCAAGCCTCTTCTTCTCTCTCTCTTTCAATGCCTTTGTGTGTATGGATCTAAAATAATTACACACTGGATCTCTCCTTATGTGCACTTCCTGGCAGCTGTGCTGTTCAAAAACATACATAATGTATGATAAATGCTCTTTAACTCCTACTCTACTGTCTTTAATAGGGTTGCATTAACATCACACAATAAATGTGACATATGAGGATTACCCTTTGCATGTGGACTAGACTGAGTCAAGTCAAAGATAATGATATACCCTTTGGGGTAGAAAAATAATTGTAACTATTATTTCTCCTTCAGTGGTTCTCTCTGGTTTTTCTCTTCTTTAACTGCCTCCGTTTCTTCCTGTGTCTTCACTTTTTATCATTTTGGTGTTGCAACAACTTGTGCCTCTTCCTGGGGCTTCTACTCTTTTGTACTCTTCTCCAGTTGTGCACACCCTACTCATTTCAGTCATACTTGCTGCAGTCTCTGCTCACTTATTTATCTTATTATAGTCTTATTTGTCTGTAAAGCAATGTGAACACCCATGGCTCTACCTGCTGTTTCTTCTATTGCGGTGTTCTGTGCACCCAGAGCATATTCCTGTGCCAATACAAGTATTGCTACTTGAATTCACTGCTTCTATTTAAATCACTTTGTAATGTGGCTGGAGATTCACGATGTGTAATGTCAAAAGAATTAATTAGGCTGTCTCCTCATTCTGGATATTCAAATTGCCTTCATTTTGCCACTCTTCGCTTTCAAATCTATGTCTCTCAGCTCTGCAGTTTCCAGTTAATCTGTTCATTTTGTCTTCCTTTGCTACAGTGATTATGTCCACTTTAATAGATCATTAATTAACATTTATTTTCACTAAAGGATGATGTCAAAGGTAAAACTGAAGAGATATATCAAAAAGAACAACAACTAATTCTGAGCATCCCTCTCATAGAAGTAAGACAGAAAGAGTTGGAAGAGAAGCATGAAAAATATGAAGACTTGAAAAAAGTAGTCTCAGGTAGGTATTAAATAACTCCGATGCACTTCGAAGCTTTCTGCTTCTGTCTTAGAAAGAGATCTGACTTGGTAATATGGGTAACCTCAAAGCTAATGAGCAACTGGCGTTCCACAAAAGAGGAATGCCTGAAAAATTCGAAGATGACTTTGTAGAGGTTTAAGATTAATATAGACCCTGAAGATATTTGGTCTGTTCATTAGACACAGTGAGGTATTTTGTTTCCCCTCCCCGATCTTTATCCTAATCCTCTTTACTTAACTTTGTGTATTATGGTGAATCTGGTATTTTGATATATTCGTTGTATTTGAAAAAATTATTAAAATTATATATAAATAAGAAGTCTGACTGTACCAGAGCTGTCTACCATAGTTCAGATAAACTGTAAAGTACAGTAAAGCTCTGAGGGCTTTGTGCACCAGATAGATTATGACATCTGGACACTACTGAAACATTAATAATGAATAATAATGTCCCTATACAGAAGATCATTTGTTGATGGAACATCTAGTTCTGTCATCTAAAAAAACCTTTTCCTGATGTGTAGAACTAAAAGATGAAGAGACAAGACTGACAAAATCCATTGATCGGTCAGTCAGGATGATTGGTAAACTCAAGAAGATCATGGTAATGGTTTAAACCTTGTTTAATGTTATTTGTTAAAGTTTCCTAAATCAGTTTTCTTCCTCTCTGTTCTTGTGCTTTTTAATGATCTCCCTCCGCCCTTCCAGTACCATCTTCCTATAGCTGCTGTGCAACTGGTCATGCACAGAGATTCTGGCTGGAGGATGCTTGCATAGCTTGATTCAGAGCAGCACTGTCCTTTGTCATGCAAAAAACTGACCTTGATCTTGTGACCCTTAGTCATAAGCGCTGTCCCAATGGAATTAAAAGGATGACTTAAGTGAGGAAGGGGCTGCAGTATTGAGCCCTGTGTGAGCTCTGTCCCTGTACAGAAGCTGACCCTGGCTGGTGCAAGAGCCTTTGCTGCTTCTTGGTAAAACTGTCGGGTATCTTTGTCTCATGATCTCTCCAGCTCATTGCCTATCTTGACTATATCAATAGATAACAGCATAAGGGGAGAGAAATTCAGAGTCACAGATGGTTTGTGTGAAAGACACAGTACTAAAGAAAGGTGTCTGAGTCACAAACAAAACCGCAAGGTTTGTGCCTGGCTGGCCTGATACTGCAAGGATGGAGCTCTGTGGTTGCTGACCCACAAAAGCCCACAGTCACAGATGCTAATCCTTATTCGAGAAGGAAATGCTCCTTCTCCAAGCATCTTTAAATAGGCAATAGCTTACCCAGAATCTGTGTTCCAAACATTTGTGTACCACCAAAGCCTTCATCAATAGAAATATGTTGTGTGTGTGTCGCTAAGCTCATCAATGTGACCCCATGTCTGATTTAAATAGACAGGAAATGAGGTTCAATGGTTAGTGTATGAGACAGTGTCAGGAGACCTGGGTTCTATTCCCAGCTGTGCCACTGGCTTGCTGACCTTGAGCAACTCCACTTCACCTTTCTGTGCCTCTTTTCCCTACTGTGTAAGATGAAGATAACTAGGATTCCTTTTGTAAAGCTTTGAAATCTTTCTGCGAAAGGTGCCCCATATGTGAAAAGTATTATTATTATTATTATTATTAATTTTTTAGGTTACAACAGTTATAGTCCAAATACAAGATCAATTACAAATGAAGCAAAATAATGAAGGATTTATTCATTAATAGGCTGAGCTGAAGAATGAATTAAGAATAAAGCGTGACCTGGCATTTGACCAGTTGAAAGAGCATACAGAAGTTCTGAAGTTGCTAGAGAGGGACATCTATGAGGTCGACAGGAAGCTCGACATTGTGAAGACAGAAAACTGCAGACTGAAATTAGTGAGTATACTGAAGTATACTGATGGTTTACATCACAGCTTGTCAGCATGCAGGTCTCTCTTCAATTTTCTTTTCACAGGGAAAAATAGAATTGGAGAACGATGAAACAGAATAAACACTATAAATGCTTCAGCATGCAAAATAGGAGCCAAATTTTGCCTTCTGATGCACCTGTGAGGCTCCCGGTAGCTTCGTTGGGAGACACGTAGGAACATCTAAAGGCAGGATTTGTCCCTTTGACATTTTATCTGTGAAGGGATCTTTCATCATTGAGTAGAAAAAGCACTGGTGCATCCAGTCAGGTATATAGGGAAAGGCTTCCCTGCTAGCTGTGGAAGACTGTGTGAAAACTGAGGTATAAAAGCAGCCTGTGTTGTTTGGTATTGCAACAAGGGAGACAATCCCTTTTGACTTACACAGCCATTTTAGCTCATTCTTTTGTTCTGGAGCAGTGGCTGGAGCACTGTGTGCCAGAAAACCCAACCCCACTAAGTGATATGAAATGGTCTCAAGCTGAAACTAGGTGGTAAGCTATCCCCTCTTAGAATGGTGCACTGTTGTGATGAGAGGTGAGAAACACTGGGATTCATTGTGGTTACTGCCCAGAGAGGGTTAACAGTGCCTCCCGCCACTCTACAACAAAGATCACAGGAAAGCTGACTTGTTTTGACTCTACAGAAGGTTTGCATGCAGCATGCTGATGTTCAGCTTTCCAGGTGCATTTTCTTTCAGGGACTGTAGGAATCCCTACATTTTCCTTGATGGATCCAGCTCTGGACTCGAGTGATGATGACATGATCAGTCAGTTCTATCCTGGCTAAGCATTTGTTGCTGCCTATTGTTTTCCAGGGTTAACGTAGTTTTCAAAAGGGCCTAGTCCCATGTTAGAAGCGACTTCGAGCTGGAGGTGTGAATTCCAGCTTGAGGAGACATGGCCACGCTAGCTCCGATCAAGCTAGCACACTAAAAATAGAAGTGTAGCTGCTGTGGTGCAAGCAGTGACAGGAGCTAGCCATCCTGCATGCGTACCTATGGTCTCAGATGGGATTGTACTTGGAGTGGTTAGACCCGCACGCCACCATGGCTACACTTCTATTTTTAGTGCACTAGCTCTATCAGAGTGCAACTTATGTTTCCTCAAGCTAGAGTTTACATCTTCCCGCTCTAGACATACCTTTAGGCATTTAAGAGCCCAATTTTCATTGAAAGTCAATAGACTTAGGTTCATAAGTGCCTGAGTCATTTCTGAAAATGGGACTTGGGCTCCTAAGGCTCCTAGATATTTTTGGGAATGTTACCCTAAGTCTTCCATTGCTAGGTCCTGTGCTAGGTGTCAAACTAGCCTACGAGAATAAAGGAGTTACTTCTCCAGAAAAGATCTGAGCACATTAGACTATTGTGAAAGCAAAGTCTTGATTGCTGATCTATGTCAGGCCGCAACTCAAGGCTGAAGCTACACCTTCATTAGACACAGTGAGGTAAATTTCCAAAGGGCTTTCTGAATTGTGTGTTGTATTTGTATGTGCCCCTGTTTGAATGCACAGAAGCCTGGTTTTACGAGTGCAGTTGCCTGTATTTGCATGCACTAATATTACAGATGCTACTTAGGAGGTGCTTTGAAAATGTGACCTTATAATTTATTTTCCGTCATATAAACATAAGCCTTCTTTGGAAAGACAGCCCTTTTACCATAGTACAGTTATCCCTCTCCTTGATGCTCAGTATAGGAACAATTTCAAGATGGGTTTCAGAGTAACAGCCGTGTTAGTCTGTATTCGCAAAAAGAAAAGGAGTACTTGTGGCACCTTAGAGACTAACCAATTTATTTGAGCATGAGCTTTTGTGAGCTACAGCTCACCTCACGAAAGCTCATGCTCAAATAAATTGGTTAGTCTCTAAGGTGCTACAAGTACTCCTTTTCTAATTTCAAGATGGTCTGTTCATGCTGACACACAAATGCTGGTTGCTGTACGTCAGGGGTGGGCAAACTTTGTGGCCCAAGGGCCACATCTGGATATGGAAATTGTATGGCAGGCCATGAATGCTCACGAAATTGGGGTTGGGGTGTAGGAGGAGGTGAGGGCTCTGGCTGGGGGTGCGGGCTCTGGGGTGGGGCCAGAAATGAGGAGTTCAGGGTGTGGGACGGGGCTCTGGGCTGGGGCGGGGGAGTAGGGGGCAGGAGGGGGTGAGAACTCTGGCTGGAACTGCAGGCTCTGGGGTGGGGCTGGGGATGAGTGGTTTGGGGTGTAGGAGGGTGCTCCAGGCTGGGACTGAGGGGTTCAGAATGTGGGAGGGGGCTCCGGGCTGGGCCAGGGGATTGGGGCACAGAGGTGTGTGAGGGCTCCGGCTGGGGGTACAGGCTCTGGGGTAGGGCTGGGGATGAGGGGCTTGGGGTGCAGGAGGGGGCTCTGGGCTGGGATTGAGGGGTTCGGAGGGTGGGAGGGGTATCAGGGCTGGCCAGGGGGCTGGGGCATGGGAAGGGCTCAGGAGTGCAGCCTCTGGGCGGCACTTACCTCAAGCAGCTCCTGGAAGCAGCAGCATGTTCCCCCTCCGGCTTCTACGTGGAGGCGTGACCAGGCAGCTCTGAACGCTGCTCCGTCCGCAGGCGCCATCCCTGCAGCTCCCATGCCGCAGTTCCCAGTCAATGGGAGTTGCGAGGGCACTGTCTGGGGCGGGGGCAGCTTGCGGAGCCCCCGGCTGTCCCTATGCGTAGGAGCCGGGGGAGAGACATGCTGCTGTTTCCGGGAGCTGCGGCATGTGCGTGCAAGCCTCAGGCGCCACTCCCCAGTGGGAGATGGAGGGCTAGATTAAATCGGCTGGCAGGCGGGATGTGGCCCATGGGCTGTAGTTTGCCCACCCTTGTTCTACGTCCTCTACTGCTGATGATGTAGCAAAGGAACTATAGAAAGAAGAAAATCAGTTTCAACTCCAAAAGCCAGAGCCACTGGTACCTGAAGTACAACAAAGATACGAGTTTGGAACCTGCTTTTGTACTTCACTATTGTCTTGGGACAGTTAGATATAGTAAAGAGACACAGGGAAACTAAACTGCGAGTGAAGAGCGAGGGCCAAAGCCTCAGCGGGTATAAATCAGCACAGCTGCATTGACTGACTGGTTTAGAGCTGAGGATCTGGTCCTGAGATTTCACTTATTTTGGTTATCATTAATGTCATTGTTCTGGAAAGTGAAATGGATGCCTGATGTTGAGGAAAAGTGTAGCAATGGAAAGAGTTTTGTCCTGGGGAGTACACCACCCTCTGTATATCTGTAGGTCACAAAAATAGCTAAAGAGATCAGGAAGAAGAGACCAAACACAAATGTTTACATAGCTGCAATGATTTTCTCTGCAGTGCAATGCACAGATGAAAGCAGATATTTTGACAATGAGCCATGAAGCCGAAAACCACAAATCAACAACAGTAAAAATTCTGAGTGATCTGACAGTCCTTCATCGTGAGTAACATGTCATCAAAGGAAATGTTCAGTTATTTAAAAACAAAAATTATCATATTCTCAGTATTTGAAAAGGAAGACTATTTTAGAATGTTTGTTTCTCTGACAGTCTGCTAACATTTTAAAACTGAATTTATTTTAGAGCTTTTTCTGAAGGGATGGTCAGAGGACAGTAGCATGCAAAAGGTGGGTTTCAACATTTTTTGACAAGGTATTTTTTAGCATTGAAAATAATTTGGTTACCATGCAAAAAAGAATAATAGAAGATTTGGCACTGTAAATAGTCTACTACCATTACTCTGCCACAGGGTAAAATACAGGAAATTAGAAATTTTCTAGCACTGCATAAAAATAATGATTGTAAAATTTCTTTGTCCTAGGTTGGTTCTATTTCAGATTCTATTTCCCTCATGCTAGGTTCAAACAAACCTAAAGGTTGTCATCTTTCTTTAATGTTTTTTAAAACTCAACCTGCAATAAGAAACTCATGAAAAATCTACAATAAGAGCTGTCTCTGGATCTCAAGAGTGGGTATGCCAACCCAGCAGAGCTATACAGTTGGTGTTTGGACAATCTATGAAAAGTCAGGAAATGCAAAACAAAAGCATACGAATGTTTTGTGATTTCTTTTTCTTTACAAGAAAATGATTTTTCCACTTTGTCTCATTATAGGAATTTGTGGCGAATGAGAAGGAAATCATGGCTGCAATAGCAGATCTTGTAATGAAACTTCATCAGAGAGAGAAAAAGATTGATTTTATTAACAAAGGGCTACAAAATAACTTTGATGGACTGGATTCTTTGTTAGAAAGTAAATTCAGCACAGAACCCAGTAAGATACACCAATCCCTTTTCTTTTACTTTGTATCCTGATGGAATTATGGTGAATTTGTTCATTAGGAATAAACAGTGATAACACTTCAGAAGTAAGCTCCATGGAGCTACATCAGTTTCCACCAGCGAGGATCTGGACTTACATTCACAGTGGAAAAGTTATTGTGTTCATTGGGAAAAGTATGCATATTTTATTGCACAGCCTGGGTGATGATGATACATTTAATTTCCTGTTCCTAAAGGCTAATTCAGTAAGAAAGCTGTGAAAAATATTTAGAGCTTCACTGTTCTCTTCAGAAACACATTTTAGCTTTTCCACAATGGACGTGCGAAGGCTAACAAGTCAGAGCTGCTGCCTGGCCTGGTGCTATATGATTAGCATTATGGCACTGTAAGTTTAACTGATGGTTAGGATGCCTAGAATTTTTTGTATCGGCAACTTCAGTTGTTTACATTTTAAATAATAATACACTGGGACTGAGCATGAACGTGTCTCCTCTTAGGGCCGTTCCCTCCATCCCCCATAATACCTTGCTACTCATTTTAGCTCCGGTGGTACAGGCTTGTGCTTTGGATGCTAAAAGTCCTAAGCTCTATCCCGGGGAATGTCCGTGGTATGTGCATGTATATGGCTATATTCCTGTAACAGAAGTACATTGGTTTTTTGATTATAGGATTTTTAAGTAGAAAGGTTCTTGTAGTCATACACCTTTGAGGTGATTGGGATTTGGATATTTGGACAACAAACTAGAGAAAGGGATGGGTTAAATCTATAAGGAAAAGAATATTTCTGCTTCAGCTTAAGGCCTCATGCTGCCATTATTTCATGTGTGGAATGTTCACTGTGGTCAATGGAAAGTCATTTCATAAAAGGACCACAAGGATCAGGCAAAAATGGGTCTGTTTAATTACATCCATCTTAAACTAAGTATCTATAATTAACTTTTTTGTGCAAATGAGAGCAGATACTGAGAAAAGCTTGCTAAAATATGTATTTTATATTTAAATTCCAGATGTTTCTGAAGGATAGAATATTGGAGTAAAAAGGAAAAGGTAAGTATCCATATATGATCCCTAGGTTACATTTACCTACTATAAACTATGCTCTTAACAGATTACTAATAGAAATTTTAGGATTAATATACAAGGTTCCCCAGTCTTATCCAATGACATGCTTATCATTAGTGCTACTTGGGTTTTGTTTTCACATTTCTTTTTGACAACTTAGGGCCAAACTTTTAAGCCTGGAGTCACACTGTCCATGAACAGAAATGCATATGCAATTGCTTTTTTGTCATTACCATAGCTGTGCGTGCAAATGTACATTGCAGTTGATCCAGAAACCCAGTCACCCCAAGTGTATGTGCAGTCCCAGGAATTGTGTCTGAAAATACAGGTACAAGACTGTGCACAGAACACTTTTATTTAAAAAAAAAAAAAAAAAGTGACCAAATACTAGCCAGGGTAGTTGGTATTTTAATGCCTATATTTATCAGAGCCTTATGGATTTCGGTACATAAAAAATGGGAATGTTTGTATGCAAACAGATAGGTATACCCAATCTCATTTAAGTAAATGCCTATTTTCACACCGAAATGTGTTTTTGTGTGTACCATTGTAGAAGTCCTTTTTGAAATAGTGGCTCTAATTTTCCAGTTAGGCAGTATAGTTATTAGGACAAAAATCCTAAGTCTTGTAGTAAGAGAGAATACTACATAGTTTGCATCTGAACAAGGAACAGTGACATCTGGAGGCAGGTAAGCTGGTGTGGAGTCCAAAACAAATACCCTGAATTATCTGAAGGTTCCATAGTATGGTCTCCTTTGACTAGATCTGCATCAGCTTTGCTTTGAGAAGTAAGCTCTCAAGCAGCTCTCCAATTCCTTACAGCCTAATTGGGTAATAAAACACAACATGCTACTGTGACTCTTAAATAAACACACCAACTGTTATACCAGGGTATCCCATGATCAGTACATTTTTATCCTCCTCTCCCCTCTTTGTAATTACTTCCACAGGCTCAAAATTTAAAAAACAGGTCACTGGTTAACTTGCCCCAAAAGAGTTGGCTGATCAAAATACCCTTGGGAAATGGCTGCTCATATTGTTAGATCTGAAGCAGTTAAAGGCTATGTTGGTTACCATGTCACTTCCCTCTGCAGATTAATGATCATTTAAGTGTTGTAGGATGATGATTCTCAGTCTTGTTTCATACTGTCACCCTTGTCTTATGCTAGCACACCTCTTGTGAATACCTCCATTCTAGCATGTAGATTGCTATGTTATGTGTAAAAGTAATACTAGGAGAGCATTAAAGAATCCACTTAATGGGACAGGGACTGCTCCTTAGTGACAGCAACCCCATTTCTTTCTCTGCCCTTTCTCCCTCTGTGTGTGTGTGTGTGTGACATACACTAGCATCAAGCTTTCTATCATTGCCTACAGTCCCCCTGCTCTAACTCCTCCAGATCAGTGCTGGGTGGCAGCCAACCAGCCACATTTCTCACCTTTACAATGTTAGTGGTGGCTCAAGCTTTATCAGCGTGATTAAGTGTACACCAAAGCAAAACCAACAGACATGAAGCACCCAATGAGGAAACAGACTATTTAATTGCACCAAAACCCAACAATCTTCAACAAGGGTGAAAGGCATGGAGAGGTCTCCCCCATGGAGGCTCCTTCATTGCTTAGAGATTGACAGATGCATCGCATGTTTTAGTACAGAATGTTTGCTAACAACAGTTGTTAGCTAGGAGAACCAATTTCTGCATAGGAGTATGCAGGCAGCATATTAGGAAAACTGCTTGAGTGGAAGGGACAGTACTCTTTAATAGGCTCCATATGGAAGACTGTACAGTCAGCACATCTCAAACAAGACTGAATGATGCAGTAAGAAATGTACTATAGAGAACAATCCTGCTCTAACCATTCTGTGCTTCGTTTCCTCGCCCGTGTTTTAAGATCTAAATTGAATTGGGCTGCAAGTTAATAGGAGGCTGTAGCAGGGGAAGGGAGGGGGTTCTAGTGGGAGTAAAATGCTAATATATAACTACAGCTGCAACTTTAGACATTGAGTGTTCTCCACAAACCTCTTATTTTTAAGGAGATGGTAATTCCAAGTGAGCGGGTGACAGAAGCCAGACACTTTACCAGAAAACCACAGCTCTATTTTGCAACTTTATTCAAACAGAGGCTAATATAGGGCATTGTGAAATAAATAAATAAGGTACATGTTTTTTGTTTGTATTACAAGGTATGTCCCACCAGTATTTACACATAGTAAAAAATGTATATAGATTAAGACATTATCCACTTCGATTTTTTACAAGCCCTTCATGAAGTTAAAGTACAGCACTTTAAGATTACATACTCTTAGATTCTGTACGGTGTTTTACCCAGAAAATGTTTTGTACAGAAATGACAACTTCAGTCTAAGAAGAGCTGAAGGGCATAACAAACAGTGAAATTCTTTAATCCATGTTACTGCGATGGTTTCATTGGGGGTGTTGGCACAAATTACATTTAATGTCCATTTGCTCCTTCTGAAAGGATGCGTGAAGGTTCAGTGTACTTTGCAGTAAGTAAGTAAAAGAGGGCAGGTGCAGGTACCAAAGCCAACAGTGGTAAATCCTGGCCAAGTCTCTCCAGTTTGGAAATAGAGATGATTCCATAGGCATGAAGTAACCAGTGGCTAGAAAGAACAACAAGCCTTTTCTTCCTGACAAGAAGATCCTTGAAAGACTTGTAAAAGAAAAAGTGTTGTTAATGTTTTCACACCTACATTGTATCTGACACTTAAGTGAGAGGTTGTGCACAATGCAGGGAGAGGCACTATATATAAAGTCTATTGGACTTGAGAATGATTTGACTCTAATCACTCTCTATGATCTTTCCCTAGTCCTCCTTGGGAGAGGGAGTTGCATCAAGGACTACCAGTTCATGCTAGTTTCCTTGAGCTGGACCCATATGCCAAAAATGAAAAAGGCTTATTCCCAGCATAAGCACAAGAGTACAGACAAATACATGAGGCGAGGCAAGCTAGCAGTCTCCACTCAAGTCAGTATTCCAGAAGATATTGTAGCATATGCCAGATATCGGATCATGCATTAACAATGAGCTAGTGTTCCTTATCTTACTTCTCAGGCCTCAAGGCTCTGCTCGTAAAATTAAGTTTTAAAATCTATGACAGAAGAGACATTTCTACCTACCTCTACTTCAGAGGCAGACATGTACACAGCCAGAGTAACCAAAGATAACACCAATATAATATATGGGAATGCATAATCTAAAGGCAAACATTGCATGTATTAGGGGGAGGGAAAAAACACCACCACTTTAAGTACATTTCAGCAAAAGACGTTAACTACTGCTATGTATGCAACTGTTCCACTGAATCAGTCCAGCCTACTTTAGCCCACGGATTTGAAATTTAACAGTCATGCACTACAGTATGAATGAGTGATAAACAAGCACAGAAGTTTACTTTTTGACCTTCTAGAGCAGTAATACTCGGATTGTGGCTCACAAGCCGCAAGTAGCTCTTTAATGGGTCTCCTGCAGGTCTTTGTAACACGATATGAAAACACGGTGTGGTTTAACCAATCAACCAATCAGGATGCTTTTACTAGGTTATTAACTTATTTGCTGTGAGAATAATTTATATCCAAAAACTAAATATTTCCCCTGTCATTCACACTACTGTGGCTCTTTTGGGTAATGTTGTTCACTAATTTGGCTCCTGAACCACTGAAGTTTGAGCATCATTGTTTTAGAGGTTTCAAAATCCATTTCCTCCAAGGCCCAAAGGATCATATTTCTACATAACATAAGAACGGCCATACTAGGTCAGATTAATGATCCATCTAGCCCAGTATCCTGCCTTCCGACAGTGCCCGGTGCCAGATGCTTTAGAGGGAGTGAACGGAACAGGGCAATTTATTGAGTGATCCATCCCATGCTGTCTAGGCCCAGCTTCTGGCAGTCATAGGTTTACAGACACCCAGAGCGTGGGGTTGTGTCCCTGACCATGTTGGACAATACCCATCAATGGACCTATCCTCCCTGCATTTAACTAATTTTTTTAAACCTAGTTATAGTTTTGACCTTCACCCCATCTCCAGCAATAAGTTCCACAGGTTGCCTGTGAATGGTGTGAAGAAGTGCTTCCTTTTGTTTGTTTTACACCTGCTGCCTCTTAATTTCATTGCATGACTTCTGGTTCTTGTGTAACGTGAAGGGGTAAATAATTCCTTATTCACTTTCTCCACATCATTCATGCTTTAATAGACAGGTTTCAGAGTAACAGCCGTGTTAGTCTGTATTTGCAAAAAGAAAAGGAGGACTTGTGGCACCTTAGAGACTAACCAATTTATTTGAGCATAAGCTTTCGTGAGCTACAGCTCACTTCATCTAATAGACCTCTCTCATACTATTTCTAATTAGGCTCTGTACATTTTAACATGCATCACTGAAGTTTAATAGCCCTCTGGCTCCCTCCTCCACAGCTAAAGCACAAATGTGAATAGAAAAGTGGACAGAAGAGTCCGCTGAAATGGGAGCGTGCATGCTGAGTGATGGCACGGTGACATGCTGCCCTTTCACACAGGAACCCACAGCCTTATAGCGCAAGGCTAGAACTCGAGAATGGAGGGGGCCTAAGAATAGCTACATTTTCCAATTTGCTTTAGCCCCTTCTGAAACGAGAGGTATTTCTGCTGGAAAAGAGAGATTAAGTTCATACCACTAAAATGCAGCATAATCTTCCAGTCCACACCCGCTGCTTTGAGGGGTAAAAGGCAAGGCACAGAGCCATGTGTCCAGGAGGGAGGGAATAGCACACGAGGCAGCCTCTCCTCGTGGATTCCTCAAGGTCTGGAGGCCACAAACCCCTCTTCATATCCCCTTAAAAAGGGGGAATATGGTAAGCAAGTTTGAGACAGTCCTCAGCTTTCCTGATCTCTTCCCCTGCTGCTGTCTACAGGTTTCACAAGAGGGATCCATTTGGCTGTAAGTGAATGAGGGCTTGATTTTCAGATACATTGAGTGCATCTGACAACCAGGCTCTGAATTCTCCTATTTGCGCTTTTAGAATAATTTAGAACAATAATTTTCTCTCTTGAGCTGCTGACTGCATTTGAGTGTTCTCTAGCCTCCCATTGTCACCGCTTTCCCAATGCATTCCTTAGCATTTGCTAATTCTTGCCTTTATTTAAAATATTTCTTTCTGGAAGGCTGAATTTACAGAACTGCAATGAAGCTTGGAACAGCATTCCTACTACCTAGGGAGCGAGGCCAATGCTGCTTTGGAGAGGTCTGAAAGTTATCTGTGGTTTTAAACCAGTGTGTGTGTGTTAGGATATAGATATTCAGGCCAGTCTGCAAAGGCCTATACTTTAAGAATTTATGTGTATTGTTATCACTTAGCTAGTTCTAGAGGTATAAAAGAAAATCAAAATCACAGTCTGCCTGTTTATGGGCCTTCTCTTACAGTGAGAGTCTTAGGCCCTGTTCTTAGGCTAAGATCTCTGGCTAAACAGCAGAGGCAGCCATAAGCTAGGAAATGTATGGTCACATCCCAAACTAGTCACATTGAAATAAGGCAATCTGATCTATCACCTCCAGAGAAAGGGAAGAGCCTAGAGAATGTAAAAGGAGGTTTAGTTTGATAGCATTCTATTCAGTAAGAAATTATCAATAGACACAGCTGGGAAACCTTTACGGCTTAATAGATGTAGTTGTGAAATCCTCACTTCTGTATTGTTTTGTCATTATAGTTCCCACTTCGCTATTATTTGCATGGTCTGTCTGGTTCTGTGACTGTTTCTGTCTGCTGTGTAAACTAATTAAGGTGGGGGGATATATTGTAACATGATTATTTAACCAATTATGTTACGATTGGTTAAGGTATAGCTAAGCAGAACTCAAGTTTTACTCTGTAGTCTGCAGTCAATCAGGAAGTAAGGGTGGGGAAATTGGAATCATGTTTTGCTACGGTGGGGAATGGGAACAGGGACACAGGTACGGCTCTGTGGTGTCAGAGCTGGGAAGGGGGACACCAAGGAAGGAAACTGGAATCATGCTTTCTGGAAGTTCACCCCAATACACATCAAATTGTTTGCATCTTTGGACTTCGGGTATTGTTGCTCTCTGTTCATGCGAGAAGGACCAGGGAAGTAAGCAGGTGAAGGAATAAGCCCCTAACAGCATGCGCGCAAAGAGCTATCTTAGCTAAACTGATAGTGTACTTAATGCACTGTCATGTTCTGCTAAGGCAGCACTGAGTTGATTGGCTAAGGAACTTACTATTGATTTACAACACCAGCTCTATGATTTGTCAATGTTTTCCCAAGAAGCGGGGGGAAGGGGCACGCTTCTTCATGTAATAGATGGCTGTGTGGAGTAATCTCATTTTATAATAGCACTGCGGGCAGATATTTGAACAACAAAGGTAATTTTGATGAATGTTTCTTTATACATTTAACGCAATAGCCTTACGCAAGCAAAGCAAAAAAGGACATACTTTGTCCACTGAGCAAGGTGTTCTTTTTGTTAAGGGCATACGTTTTAAAAACAAACTAAACAAAAAAACAAACTTACAGAGCAGGCCGCCTCCAACTGCTTGAAGTACAGTTAGAATAGGGAAGAAGTAGAGTGCTGCATAAATACTTTTAAATCGATCTGACTTTCCTAACCCACAGGCAATCTTCTTAACCAGAAGCGGTCGGAGCAGCATCATCAACACCAGACAGAAGGCATAGTATATAAATACAATGGTGTATCTATAAAGGAAAAAATACTTAGTATTTGCATTACAGTAGTAACTACAGGCTCTAACAGACCTAGGATGCCTTGTGTTAGGCACTATACACACTCTCACACAGAGAAAAGTTTACAATCTATATAGAGGGTGGGAGGGAAAAACAGGCCCAGAGAGTTCAGTTGACTTGTCATAGTTCACCCCAGAAGGCAGTGACAGAGGTGGGAGCAAACTGCAGGTTTTCTGACTCATAGTACAGCATCCTCTCTAGACCAAACTGCCTCCCCAGGGCAGTGAAAGCAACATGTAGGTTAGTTCTTAAAGGCTGCCCAAATCTATAGGTGTTTCTTAATTCTCTCTCCTGAAGTGTAATGAAGATGTATTGAAGCTCGCTGTTAGAGTCTCTGTACTCCTAAACCCTCATGAACAGGCTCCCTTGCATGGCTGCTCGCTGTGATACTAATTTAGGAGATGTTAAAAGGTACAGGTTGCTACTCTCCAGTGTAAGACTACTATAATTACCATTACTTGAGTTCTTTGTGCAACTACCTAGAGCAGGGGTGGGCAAACTTTTTGGCTCGAGGGCCACATTGGGGTTGCAAAACTGTATGGAGGTCTGAGTAGGGAAGGCTGTGTCCCCCAAACAGCCAGCCCCTGCCCCCTATCTGCCCCCTCCCACTTCCCACCCCCTCAGAACCCCCAACCCATCCAACTCCACCTGCTCCTTGTCCCCTAACTGCCCCCTAACAGGACCCCCCCCCCAACCACCCTCCAGGACCCCATCCCCTATCCGACTGCCCCAACCCCTGTCCTGCACCCCCACCCCCAACAGGCCCCCGGGACCTCATGCCCTATCCAACCCCCCCGGCTCCCTGTCCCGACTGCCCTGACCCCTATCCATACCCCTGCCCCCTTACAGGCCCCCTAGGACCCCATGCCTATCCAACCCCCCCCCGTTCCCTGACCCCGCCCCTAAACTTCCACCCCCTGACTGCCCCATCCAACTGCCCCCCAGGACCCTCCGCCCCTTATCCAACCCCCCTGCCCTGGTCCCCTTACCATGCTGCTCAGAGCAGCATGTCTGGCAGCTGCCCTGCCCAGCCAGAGCCAGACATGCTGCTGCTTTGCCCTGCAGGAGTGCACAGCTCTGCTGTCCAGAGCACTGCCCACGCAGCAGCATCGCTACGGGGGAAGGGGGACAGCAAGGGAGCAGCCCGGGGCTAGCCTCCCCAGCCGGGAGCTCAAGGGCCAGACAGGACGGTCCTACAGGCCAGATGTGGCCTGCAGGCCGTAGTTTGCCCACCTCTAACCTAGAGATATGTAGAATTTCTCCCAAAGAGCCAGCATGCTGCAATGTGCCAAAAACGCTGCCAGTAAAGCTGCAGTTACAGATTGTTGGCTTGCTATGATTCACTATGCTGGTGCTTTAAAGAAGCAGCACAAAAAAGAAAGCTCACAAGACTTCAAAGGGGGTTTGGTAGCCCACTGGTCTGGGTTAGATAAGCCCTTTTACATTCTACACTGTCAAAGAGGAATTTCTAAAGAAGTCAGTCATTTAAACAATTGTTAAAATCAACATTATAAGCAGAAGAAAGGAAAATTGATGCACTCTACCAGATGAAAGATTGACTTTGTATTTGTGAAGTGTTGTGAATGTTCAGATTTTTTTTCTTCAATTAGTGGCATATGGCTATATTTCAGACTAAGGTTATAGTAAGCTGACTTCCTTGGTTTATCCTCATTTCATCTAGAACAGCACTCAGTGTAAAATTTTATATCTCTCTCTACCTCTGTTTGAAAGTTATACAAACTTTAGAATTTAAAGCATGTATTTCTACCAATACCTGGAAAAAAATTTATTACTGTTCACTCATAATTAGTATAAGCTGCTGTTATAGACAAGCAGATTCACAAATAAACTGAAGTCTAGACTACCACTAGGACTTTCCATTTCTCACACAAGGGCCAATAAAAGAATTAATAAGCACTTACAGTGTTCCATTTTGAAGTGCCATATAAACACAGCCCCCAATTCAAGACAGCACTTGGGCACATGCTTAAGGTTAAGCATGTGCTTAAGTGCTTCTCTGGATAGGGATGCTTTCCTGAATCCAGGCTACATTAAGTACATTTTGGCAAGCAGATTACCCTTCTTACAAGAAGTACTAACTTAGCAGAATACGGCCACATTTCAGGGTTAAATGTACCATAACCCAACATTTTATAAATTTCTGAAACACATATGGTGAAATAGCAAACTGATAAAAAAATACTCTGACTTTATACTCACAGAGGATAGACAGCTTCATGAGTACAGTGTATAGTTGTAATGTAATCAGGACTTGGGTTGTAAAGCATCGTATACCAGTCAGAAAGCATCTCTACCTTGCAAGAACGGATATACAGAAAACCTACTGGATCACTCACAAGCAGTGTAACTATTGCTGCAATACTGCATTCGAATAAGGCAGTAAGATGCTGAAACAATGCACTGGAACTGCAGAGGGAAGAAGAAAAAAGTTCTTTAATACCACTTGAAAATCAACAGGGAAAAAAAGTCAAAAATATCAAATGCTGAGTGAAGTATAAAGACTCTTTCAATTCTAAACTGTCTATTGTGTTTAAATTCACTATGAAAGATGGGCCAAAGCCACAGTTATTACAAAATGAAGATTGAAGTAAGCATGATACTGAAAATAATCTTCTCATTTATCTGAATCACACTATTTAGTGCACAAGTGCAGTTGTACTTCAGCTAAACTTCTGAAACTAACATTCACACCACATTTAGTCTAGCAAAATGAAAGATCAAATATGCAAGGCAGGTGAGAGTTATACAACTTCCTACAACGCAGAAAGCATATTCTTTGTTCAGCAAAACTAAACTATTAAGTATTGCAACATTATAAAGCCCTCTGCCTAAATCACTGGCAAAGTGAGAACTAAGCACCACCCTTGATATTTCCAAGGCATTAATTTCTAAGTTACCTATTCTTTATAAATGGTGGTTTTCATTTTCATAGTGACTTGCTACATATGTTTTTTAAATAAAAGGGCAAACATTTTAAATCAGATGCATGAAACTCTCACTGGAGCTGAAAGCTCATGTTAAAATGATATATTTTAGTGGGTTGAGAGTTTATAGTATGAAACATTAAGTGTTTAGTATACTGTTTGCACACCACTTTAAACGGGCATCATTTGTAAAATATTTACACAGCATGAAATTACAGAACACAGCCACGTTCTTTAACAAGTTGTTATAAAGATATAGTAATACTCTTTAGGCCAAAACCTGACATACGTGAGCGTTCCCTCCTACACCAATGAGGATTCCTTCAATACATTTAAAACAAGGAGTTGGGTATAGGGCATTTCCTGGGCACTGTGACCATCTGGGAGGAACTTGCAGCTCTAAGATGAAAATTAATAAACCCATAAGCACAGTGTGCCCAGAAAATTAGCAGCCTGTGTATCTGCCTGCCCAGTAGCATGACTCCTTTAGCACAACTCAATTTGCCTTCTCATATGAATGATATACATTTATGGTGGGCCTTTTTGTTTTTAAATTAAATAAAAAGATTACTAACCTCTTTTTCCCTGAATACCATTCAATGAAGAACCAGTGCAAAATCAAAGGAAGCATAGCCATAAAGCCAAGGTATAGCCAATCATAATGCCCTGGAGATCCTGTACACTCCCGACAGATTTTATCACCATCTGTTCGCTGTCCTCTCGGACAAACCTACAAAAACAGCACCACAAAACTGTATTTACAAGTGCCTAAAAACCCAATAACTGATTGATTGTTTTGTTGGAAGCCCAGTTAAAGGGAGCGTGTGGGCTGACAAATTTACATTATTCAAGGAAGTTCAATCCCTCAGCCCTCCACTTGCCCCAATGATCCCATCCCCTGAGCAAACTCGTCCCATTCTCATTCCATCCCTTACGCTCACTTTCATCTGGCTTGTTCCCCTCACAATACAAAAATGCTTTAGTCTCTTGTGTCCTACAAAATCCCACCCACCTTTAACCCCGCTTGTCTCATTAACTACTGCCCCATATCCCTTTCATCTCTAAGCTCACTGCATGCACTGTTTACCAGCATTGTCTGGAGTTCTTCTCCTCCAATTCCATTGTAGATCCTCCAATCTAGCTTCCACCCCTTGCACTCTACTGAAATTGCTCTTTCCAGAGTCTCTAATGACCTCTTCCTTAAAGCTCAGAACCAGTACTCCATCTTCATCCTCCTTGACCTGTCAGTCACTTAGTCAACTGTGCTCCTCGAAATCTTGTCCTTCCCTGGCATCCATGACTCTCCACTCTCCTAGTTCTCCTCCAACCTTTCTAGTCGCTCCTTTAGCGTATCCTCTGCCTCCCTTCAGCTTTCGGGGGAGTCCACAGAGCTCTGTCCTTGGTCCCCTTTTCTTCTCTCTCTCTCTGCCTTATCGCTGGGTAATCTCAACAGCAAACACAAATTCAACTACCATCTCTATACAGATGACTCACAGATCTATGTCTCCACTCCAGACCGGACTCCTGTCTGAACTAAAATCTCAGCCTGTCTCCGACATCTCCTTGTAGATGTCTAGCCATCAAGCTCAACATGGCTATAACAGAGCTCTTAATCTTCCCCTACCTATCTTCTTGATCATTGGGGAAAATGCCACTCTCACACCTGGTACTCAAGCCCATAACCTCGATGTCATCTTTGACTCAGACCTCTCTCTAGGTCAGTGGTTCCCAAACAGTGGGTCCCAGGCATGGTGCAGAGAGCAGGGTTGAAGTGTGAGTCCACACTGCACCCATCTCACAGTGGTGGCTCCTGTCCTGCAGAGTCTGGGCCTGCTCCAGGCATTGCAACCTCATGCATGGGGTTGCAGCACCACTCAGGCTTGAAGAGGCAACCAAGCCAAACCTGAGTGCCGTTGCAATCCCGGGCACTGGGCTGCAAACACCTAGAGCAGGGACCCGGACCCAGGCCCAGCTCCACTGGACAGGAGCTACCACTGTAGGGTGAGTGCAGA